ATGACAATTTCTTGAGCATATGAGCTCTATGAAATACAAATGAAAAAGAATGGGACATAAACAGCCAGCAATTTTTATTGAATTGAATTGTAGAGTATCAATAAATAAATAAATAAATAAATCTTGGTTACATAAATATCTTATAAGGTACAGATATTTATTACAAGTTACATATAACTTTCTGGAGGTGGAAACTAGAAAGTGAAAATTATACTTTGGAACATTTCATGGAGATAAGATACGTTTTATAACATACTGTGGAATATTATAGCCAAAGGAACAAAATTTCCATGGAAACAAGCAGGAAGAGGCCCACCTCCAGGCTAAGTAAAGGTCACGTTTGAGGAGATGCATGCTCACAATAAAGATACATGTTTTTTTTTGTTTTGTTTTTGCTAAAAAGTTAGTGTGGCTTTAAAGATTTGTTACAGTGATTTACTGACATAAATGATCCTAAACCTGATTACTGACTCTCATATGATAGACTGACCCACAACACAATGAATGAGAAAATATTAATCACACTGCACAATATAGAGGTATGTGAGCAATCTTAAATGATATTAACAAATTTAATCAATCAATCAAACTTTATTTGTATAGCACTTTTCATACATTTGAAATGTAGCACAATTTAATAATTAGCTAAATAAAATTACATAATTAAACTAAAGTATTTCACATATGTTCAAAGACACTTACACGCGTCATCCACAATGTACTTCGAATCGACTTTAGTAAAAGCATAGTGAACTATGATAGAGGGAACTGTCCATTAGTGAAAAAAATAATGTAGCAATGGGGATATAGCTATAGTAACCAAGGCTATAAGAAAGTATAGTTACTATGGTGGGGAGAAGCAGAGCAGCTCACCAGGGATCAGCAGCTTTTAGTCTGAGAGTAAACAACACAAGGGTTTCTAAATAGATTTGCATCAAAGTAAGGCAAGATTTTAGTTTGATCTCAATGTCCACTTTTTAAAAGTGCATATGCATAAACAATATTAAGATGAGTCTGGAATCACAAACATGGTGTGGCATTTCACATCTTTAAATTTGAGACTTAAATTTGAGTCATAAAAAGAGCTGAGAGGAGCTCTAGGCAAGATGTATGTTATAACAGCAGCAAAGACCGCTCAGTTACAGGCCTTTGGGGTCCTGAATAGTCCCTTTTGTGGGCTTTCCATCACCTCCTCACACCCGTTACCACCAGCATCGTTCACAACAATCTGTCTGTACTGATTAAAGCCCAAGACAGATCACCTAATCACAGAGTGGCAGTCAAAATGCAGCCTTGAAAATATTGATTTCACCAAGCTAGAAATAAACTATTGCCTGCCACTTGATTATCTCCTGATAACTGCTGGTATGATGAAACAAACAGACTATCAACAGCTTAGGCATGGCAGTCAGCAGCATTTGGAGTGGATCTGAGGAAAAATCACTTAATCCGTGGCCTGATGCTAGAAAATCCCCTTTAAAGTGGTTAAGCATGCAAAGATTTACCGGCTGTATGTTTATGAGTTAAGTTAAATGAAATTATGCAGCTCAGGTAAAATAATTTTAAGCATTTCAGAATAATAGTCAAGCCTGACAGTCTCTGGTACATATAAAAGAATGTGTGCCAGGCTGGTTTTGGCACAACGCCTCACTGACAAATACAGCTAAGAATCAGTACTGCACTGTTATACTGTGCCCTCTGTATAGGATTAAACTCATACAAAAGGCTAGAGCTACATGTGAAAAACAGTAAAAAATCTACCTGTTTCAAGCATTTAAAATGAATCAAGTTGAGTTCCTGAGCACACCCTTTCTTCCAAGTGTTCAGACCAAGGCCAAAAGCAGCCATCCACGCCCTTCCCCATGCTCCATTGGCAGCTCACACCACACATATTTTATCATCATCATAGATTTCTCTCAAAGCAACAAAACATGAAAAAATAATCTGTATTGTCAGCAATTTCTTGCAATTTTTGTTGATATTGTGAGTACAGGCTGCACTCAAACGAGTAAGATGCCCTGCTGAATGGTTTGTGGTATGTGTCATTTTAAAGTGGAGAAGTTCATTGGCCCCTTTATTCAAAACAGCTCACATGGCACAACAGGCTAATGTGGGTTTGATTCTGTTCTCAATAAAATGTAAGGAGATTAAATGAGTATATAAAACCAGCCAGAATTGATTTCTGTGAAAAACGTAACAGTTAATATTCACAACTAAGCCAGTTTCCTTGAACAATCCTCTAAGCTTGAACCTTGAACTCTGAAATCCGTGACAGTGTATTTTGAAAGTTTTTGAAAGACTGGCCTTCTCTGACAGAGAAACATGTTCCCATCTTCTCTGTCAGATTATTTCGCCTTGAATCATCTTTTATCTTATCTCTGACGAAAGTTATACTATGGTCAACTGAACTGCTCCCCTCTATCTTGTGTCTGTCACCTGCAGGCCACACAGCTATTGGCTCTAATCTTGTATCTCTCAGCTGTTGCCACGGTGAGTTGGTTTCCAGCACCAACGGCAGCTTTATCTGCGACCTGCAGAGGAAAACTGTGACTGTATCTCATACACCTGCACTCACATATGCACAAACACAGTCCGCATGCCCCCTGCAGAGCTCATATGCACTTTGACACACTCCATGTGTAACTTCAGGTACATACAGACATACACTGTAATGTATGTAGTCAGGTGCACAGGTGCGAGAGTAGAGAGGCAATAGGAATACAGACATGGTTTTCAGTTTTTGCTATTTTAAGTTAAACCATGCACAAGACGTTTACACAAACAGAGTTTTCAGTTGTCTTATGGTGATGCATTCAGACTTGCAAGCAGCAATAACTTTTCTGTGAAAGTCATCATTCCAAAAAAACATATTTTTTCCATGATCCTCACATATTTCATTTATTTGTGAAGAAAAGGTATGGTTAAAATAAATTGCATTTGATGTCAGTTGTAATTACACTTTACTGCAAAAGTAAAAACAAGGAGCAACTTTGAAATTGAAAATTCAGCTCAGTAGAGCTAAGCAAATTTACATTTAATCAATTTGAAAAACGTTTTAATGCAAAGTTGGTCGCCAAGAAGTATTTGCACGCACATACACACACGGTCCAAGAACTCATCATTCCAACGACATTTCATTGTGCAATCCATCTTAATCAGCAAGCCCATCAGAGACAATCTCTCCTCCCCTCCATCTCACTCCCTGCTCCGGACGGAGTGATTGAGGGGTGTAAAGAGGAGGATGTTCTGCCCTCCGCCTCCGTAGCCCCCCTCCTCACCGGGACGGCTCTTAAGTGCTTGTGGGTTTTTATGTTTGTAGTGTTTTATAGGAGTGGGCAGGAGCCAGAGGCAGTAAAAATGTAGAAGGCAGGCGAAGGGGACGAAAAAGGAGGAGAAGAGGATAGAAGTTACTGTAAATCCAATCTTTATTGAGAGACACAAACAACAAACAGTACTCAGCCAACCTCTTTGCAATGCAATAGTGGATAAGGATGCAAATCAGTGACTGTAGACCATAACAAATTGCTCTCATTGATCTGCTGTATATGAAAAGGAATTTTTGTAAGTTTGTTTGCAAGTCAACTGTGTGCAAGTCAAGTGCTGTTTACAGACTAAAAACCTCCCATCCCTACCAGCGTACAGTCAGTATAACACAAATGTTGCCATAGCTGAATGCTTGCTGCCTCAGGGGCTAAATAGTGCTCCAACGCCTAGCATGTCATACATTCTGGTCATGAACATTTTCTCTATAAATGATAAACTGTTCTCTCTCAGAATGTATTTACCACACACTTTCTTTTATGGCCATTTCTCTGACGACTTCACTGACTGTAAGCGTCAATCACTTAGTCAGAGAGTGAAAAGGTCAAGCTCTTGGTCAACAAAATGGCCATGGAGACAGTCAGCTGGGCAGCCAATCAGTCACAGAGCGATGATTGGACTCAGCTGCCCAAAACCCTCCGTGGTACCCTTTACCTGCCTGTTGCCATGGCGATGCAGTTGAAGATTTAAATACTAGCCGGTGTCTGCTCCACTATGTTTCATCCTCTCTCCTCCAGACTGCTGCTTCCCTCAGTTTTCTCAGTTCTGAATCCCAATCGCGTCTCGCCTCCCTCACCTTTCCTTGTCCTCTCTGCTAAATGACACTTTACTGGCCGTTTGCTCTTGTTAATATCATGCCACTTTGCATTGTGGGACTCTCTAAAAACCCTTGTAAAACACACACACTCACTCACAGCCGGTCCACTGAGGGACATAAATTACAATTATTTACTGTACACACACATAATTACTTGTGAATATTTACATGCATGAGTAATTGTATGCCTAGTCAAACCACAAGGAGCCAAGCCATAAAACCAAGCACTGATTTACATATTCAATCTGGCAAAGGTACAACACTGACAGTCAGCTGCCAGTGAAAATCTATCATTCTGTGCTAAAGCCTCATCATCAGGCATCATTTAAACGTGCTGGCCTCCTTTACACTCCCCTGGTGCATCATCCTTGCCCAGGAAATGATATAATGCCCCCAAAGTCTTGTGGGAGAAGCTCACCTGCAACTAGAAGGTCAGTGGCGCCATCTAGCGGCAATAGACGCTGTTACTCATGTCCATAATAGAAGTGTTGAAACTAAAATGGGGTTTAGTATTTTAATAATTTGTGATTGTGTAATTTGTGAGTTATAACTAAACACCATTTCAATTTAAAAACTGAAAGTGAAAAAAGTAAAAAAGGAAAAGACAGTAGGCAACATATTGCTCGTATTGTAAAAGTAGTATAAGACGATCCATAGTTAAAACACCAGCCTTTTTCCTCAGGATCAAATAAAATTAGTATCTCATTCAGTATAAACCTTCTAACTGTTTTACTGTGTGTAATTATAAAGTTAATCTATTCTGTTCTACTCTTATAAAGTTAATCTATTATAATACTGTAAAATGGCAAATAAAACTATGTGTACCATTATTATGCAAAATGTATTTATCTGTAGAATTTACCTGCATTAACAACAGCATCAATCTCCAGAGCAGTGATGTCTCCACTGAAAACCGAAATTTTCTGATCTAACTTTGGGTTCCGTGGGTATTTACTCTGCTCTGCACCTGTAAGGACAAATATACACATTTAGTGTGAGTTGTCTTTAGCCATGCTAATGGTTTGGTCACTGTACTGATAACAACTGACCTCCAGAAGGAGTCCACAATGGGATGTCCTCCAGCGGCACAAACTTGGAGGTCCGATAATATGGACGTTTATCCTTCAATGACAGCAGGAAATCTGGAAAAGAAGAAAAGCACTGAAAGATGTTAAATGCTTGAATGATTTTGATTCACTATCAACAATGAGAAAATGTTATTCAATTCTGCATACTGGATAAGACAAAGAAAAAAATATTCCACACGTTGTTTGTGTAATCCCTCAATCGTCCAGTTCTGGTCAGATCGCTGGTGGACCTTGTCTTATATCATCCTTCCTTCAGGCAAATATGAGGTAGTGTCCACCAGCAATCTGACCAGAACTGAAGAAACGTTTTGTCCAGTTGACAGAATTAAATCTTTCTTTTGTGGAAGTTAATGTTAGTGTCATAAATATCTGTGATTAATTTTTAAATGTAGTAAATTTTTCGTTTTTTAGGCTTATTTTGTTGTCTCTCACCCTTGGTTTCTTTCCAATCCCCTTCAGCAGAGTTCAAGTTAACTTTCAGGGGCATGGCAGCAAACGTCCCTGTGTGGAGTGACTGGATCAGAGCTGCAGAGCTGACTCCCAGAGCAGTGCCAAGGGCAACTGTGCCCAGCCAGTGCCCCCTGCCGCGGGGCGATGAGAGCCCTCCTGTCTGGCTTGACTTCCAAAAGGCAGGTGTTGTAGAAAACTTCGGCGCAGACTCTCGATATAAAGAGCAGCAGATGGGACGTGGTGCTGGATTTCCTCTGAGCTGACAGGAGGCTCCCGAAGTTAAACTGTGCATGAACTTGACACCGGTTCTGGAGGCAGCCCAAGCCCGGAGCGGAGACCCAGCAGCGCAGCGGAGAGAGCTGCTATATGACACTAGAGAGGCAATCTTCAGAGCCATGCCTTTGCTGGAGATACGCAAATGGTGTAGTCACAGTAGAAAGGTTTCGCTTTCTTTTTATAGACAAGTGACGGGTGCTAGTGGTGTGCCATGTTTGTTTTGGTGGATTGTACCATTTGATGTTGAAGGGGAGCTCTTAAAACACCAACTTAAAATAACGTGTAGCCTGCCTACTGACATCTAATGTTGGCCCATATTTAACCAAGATCGCATACATTGTTTAATTCGTTCAGTATAAAGTGTAGAGATATAAGTCTACGAGAGATACCCACATTACATCAGATGGGATAGACTCATGGGGTTTAGTTCAGTGACCGCGGGAAATCTGGAGAGAGCAACATGTAGCGCGGAGCTTAATTCATTATAAAATAATAGCCTATAGGCTATTATGAAATATTGGCTATTTTAATTTACATCAAGTCTCGGCTGTAGTGTTATGATGAAATATAGGCCTAGATGCATTTTAATAATACATCAGTTGGGGTATTGTATCAGCACACCACATTCTATAAATCAATAATACAAAAAATAATACAGATGGCGGGCTAATAAAATGAATATTGTTGAAATGTATATTTTTGTGGTAAGTGTAGTCTCAGGTGTAAACAAAATCTGGAATTCCATCTGGAAGTTTGGCAGTATCACATTCTAGTATCTATAAACTACCAATACAATGGCTGGATAGTAGACTTCGTTTCTCATAGGGGTAAGATATAACCCCAATGCCTAAAGCATCCTATTCAATCTTAGATGAGGCAGTGAGCAAATAGACCTAGTTATAGAGGCTATAGTAGAACTGAATTTGAAAATTTCAGCATATTGGTCTTAATCATATATACCAGTAAGGTATGTGTATGACTAGTCTGTAGTCATGTAAATTGTTCTGTGTCTGCCCTGTGCTGCTTTCTCTCTCCCTCTCTCTTTATTATTGTCATTTCTCTCTCACTGTGTTACAGTATAAATACATTGCAACATTACATACTGTGACATAATTGTGCATGCAACAGATATGCCACTACAATGTACAACTATCAGCATCACCCATGCACTGTCAGTCAAAAGTTGAGAACTTGACACATTTCCGCCTGGCGGAAACTGACAAACACCAAAAAAGGAACAAGTCTTTGTGACCAAACTGACACAAGCAACTCGCAGACCACAACCAGCTTCCAGGGAGGTACAACAACCTTTAAAATACACCAAAAACACTGAAGAAGTTCTTTAAAGACTCTGACTGTGATCCTTGGTAACTGCTCACAAGGTGGACAATCGACAAAAAGAGTGTGAGTATAAGAGCATGGGTGAAAGGAGGACACATGTAGAGGCACAGGCACAGCATGTGTATGCTACAACCTCATGTCTGTTCAGTGTATTTTTGTATTATGTTACTATTTTACTATTTAATTCTATATAGACCAGATCTATACTCACTGAACCACAATATTTTAGAATCCATCAGTTTAAAGTTTTTACAAATTCAGAGCTATAAGCAAAAAAAAAAAAAAAAAAAAAAATGCAAGGGCGTTGTTGAGCTATAGTTGGTCAGAAAGAGGAAGAGTGTATTTCTGACAGTAATCGGGAGTGTCTATCAGACTGGACAGTTCTCCCCAAAATGTGGTAGACACTTTCACATTACAAGCAACATTATTTCTGGAGGTGTCAAATTAGTCATAATGTGGTTCTTCATGTTTCAGGATGGCGGTGTGGGACCTGTCAGTCACAGTGGAGGACTTGGGTGCAGATGCTCCCCCTGTCACTCTCAGTGTGACCTCTGACCTACATGTTGGTGGGGTCATTCTCAAGCTAGTTGAAAAGACACGTGAGTCTGTGTTTGCAGAACGTTTGCTCCTTTACAATATATTGACAATAATTTTTCACCAAGGACATAATTTGTTCACTGTCTACTATTGAGTTATTGTATGAAAAGATTAGTTAAAATGGCAGTTTACTGTATCACATTTGCCCTGAAATCTCACAGGCTGACATAGGCATGGACCTATATTAATGTGTTTCTATTTTTTCTTTACCAACAGGTAGTGGGATTCTGGAAACATCATTGCTATTATTAACACCGTTACTGTATTTAACAGCTCTTATTTAGATCATATATGTGATGCACTATAATAAAAGTTAAATTGTCAATCATTTATACAGGCATTTTCAGAAAATGGTTACTTATTAACATGAAATTTTTTTTGTGGTGTAATGTATATATTTGTTGTTTGCAGAGATCCAACAGGACTGGTCAGACCATGCACTTTGGTGGGAGCAGAAGCAGAAGTGGCTGCTGCGGACAGCCTGGGCCCTGGAGAAGTATGGGATCCACGCTGACGCCCGATTGGTCTTCATGCCCCAACACAAACCTCTAAAGCTGGGCCTGCCCAACGGCAAAACTATACGGCTATTGGCATCCTTCTCCAGTCCGGTCTTCCAAACTGTCACTGGCATCTGTAGAATGCTTAGTAAGTCTTTTCTGCGCATTAAGACATGGCTGTAACTTAGCCAGTCACACTGCAGCGTCCACATTCTCCATCTGCTTTGTACTTTTATTTAGTCTAATTATGGCATGTCTTAACCATGTCTAACCAAATGGAGCTTGGCACACTTTAAAGTGAACAGTTTTGCAAACACACAACTGAGATATTTGTGTAAATGACTTTTGTCTTTTCTAGATAAAAATACAAGACAATATAATTCAAAGAGATAAGGAAACTTTAATTCACCATTGTCCCTTGTCCCTATCGACAGTTGTGTAACACACAATGACAAAAGCATGAGACATGCCCTAATATTGTAAATCATAATTTTAGAAACATAACCTGTGACTCATTTTGTCCATCTGAAAAGATATCCGGCATCCAGAGGAGCTCTCATTGCTGCGTCCAATCGAAGAGAAAAGGAAAAAAAAAGAAAAAGATATGTCAGAAGAGCTTTATGACATCACTATGGTCCCACTCAGTTCAGGTATGCAGCAGCCTACTTTATTATGAATTTGGATTATTTTACTATTTACTACGTGCTAATACACATTTAAGAAAATTAACTGTATCTAACTTTGATGAACTTACAGCATCTCGGCCATGTATGTATAATGGTATGCCAGCTCATTTTGCCGACTCGGCAGACATGGAGGCTGTTTACAAGATGCTATCAATGACTCAGCCTCCTCCAGCTCCTGAGGTGGTGGCCAAGCAGTATCGCCCGGCTAGCGTAGTCGATAAGGCCCACATCAATGGCAGGTTGGTTCTTCCACATGTTATAGTAAATTAGAAATCGGCCAATACAAATTTTTTCATGGTCATTGCTAATATCAGTTGTTTGGAATCCAGAGAAAAGGATTTTGATTTTCCCCAAATTCTTTAATTTAAATTTACTACAAACTCATGCACTACACATTTTTACCACAAACCTATGTGCATCTTTTTGCATTAACTTATTCAAATAGATACTTTATGTGTACATAAAACATCAGGTCTACCTACACAAAATACCAGCCTCTGCTGGAGATTGAAAGCTGATAGCAAATGCGTTAAAAATTGTAAGTCTATTGTCAAACCAATTTATCAGTCTAGCTCTATAATATACTGTATACTATATGACTTAATACTGGGTCTGTTGTAGGTGGCTTGACTCCTCTCGTAGTCTTCTGCAGCAAGGGATACAAGAAAATGATCGACTTTGGCTTCGCTTTAAATACTATTCTTTTTATGATATTGAGCCCAAGGTATTGTATTGAACTGATACTGGAATTATGCTCCAATACCAATATTATCCTATTTTACGATCATAGACTTTCATTGTTATTTATTTTGCAGTATGATGTGGTTCGCTTAACACAGCTGTATGAGCAAGCTCGGTGGGCCATCCTGCTGGAGGACATTGACTGCACAGAGGAGGAGATGATGTTGTTTGGTGCTCTACAAGTACAATGACTTCTCTTAGTTTGATATTCCTTCTTAAATGTCACCACTGGCACTTACTCTATTACTCTCCTTGTCGTAGTATCACATCAGTAAAGTTGCTCAGTCAGAGCCACAGCTGCTGGCCTCTGCAGCTGCCATGGACGATCTGGATTCAGCTCTACAGTCGCTGGAAGTCAAATTAGAGGGAGAGAGCAGCTCTGCTTCTGAGATGCTGGTCTGAAATACATATATACATTTTCTGTTTATATTTTATTATGCAGTAGCATAGCAGTAGCTCAGCATAATAGTGTTAACATGTTCGTACTACTACTTGTACAGTGTTGTATTTTGTCATCATTATTCCTTTTTGTATCCTAATACTGTAGTTAAATGGTTAGATTTAAGTTAACTGTTATTTATCCTATTGAATAATGGAACTGCTGATCTTGTACTCTTGCAAAAGGAATTATCCATTGTGCCATAAAATAAAGATTCTCTATTTTTTTCAGGACAATATGACAGCACCTGAATTAAACGATTATCTAAAAATATTCAGGTTAGAGAAATGGATACCTAAACTTTTATAATTATTCCACATAGTTTGATCACTAAAAACACATTTTGACATTGCAGACCCAAAAGACTGACGCTTAAGGGATATAAGCTGTACTGGGTTAAATTCAAGGATACATCAATTTCTTATTTCAAAAGTAAAGAAGAATGCTTTGGGGAACCTATTCAACAGATCAATCTCAAAGGTATGATATTTTTGGTATATTTTCGCTTCCACTAAAACATTTTCCTGCGTGCTTTCTTTGTTCAGTTTCATTGAAAGAAATAAATTATAAATGACTGCAATAAGTAATAAATGTCACATATCAATAAAATGTACTTGTTTATTCTGAAGGATGTGAAGTAGCTCCAGATGTAAATGTTGCAGCTAACAAGTTCCTTATCCGTCTCTTGATCCCTTCACCAGAGGGCATGAATGAGGTCTACCTGCGCTGTGAAGATGTACTGTCCACATGTACTTCAGTAATGTCCACTGTAGATTTATTCTTTACTTAAAAGCTCTTTTAACTCTCTGTAGGAGCAGCAGTACGCACAGTGGATGGCTGCATGTCGACTTGCCTCCAAAGGGAAGAGTTTGGCTGACAGCAGTTATCAGAGTGAAATCCAAAGCATCTGCTCATTTCTGGCAATGCAAAAAACCAACTCTGGCTCCCATGGCAAAACGCCTGCTGCCGATGAAAGCATCAACACATATAGCTTGGTCTCCCCACGTTACCATAAGAAATATAAAGCAAAACAGGTAAAGGTAACAGATGCTCAAAATAACTTTTTTGTAACTCTTAAATTGTTTTCACATTTACATCATCTTTTATCCTAAACCTCCACATAGCTCACCCCTCGAATCCTTGATGCATATCAAAATGTGTCTCTTCTCACACTGACTGATGCAGTAATGCGCTTCCTGCAAATATGGCAGTCCCTTCCAGATTTTGGCCTTTCATATGTTGTTGTCAGGTATACACTGTTTAGATTACATTTTTGTTTTCTGCTTCTTAACATCATAATTAAATATTTAGCTTGTCACTGATTAGGTTCAAGGGTAGCAGAAAAGATGAAGTTTTGGGGATTGCACCCAACAAACTGATAAGGATAGACCTGGGAGTTGGAGATGTGGTCAAGACTTGGCGCTACAACAACATGAAGCAGTGGAATGTAAACTGGGATATTAAGCAGGTAAACAGAAAATTGTTTGTTTTTTGTTGTTTTTTTGTATTTTGTTCCACCTTTAATGGCATCATGTTTTCCTGTTTTTTTAATTCTTGTAGATGGCTATTGAATTCGAGGGGAACGTTAACATTGCATTCAGTTGTGTTACTGCAGACTGCAAAATTGTTCATGAGTTTATTGGGGGTTATATCTTCATGTCAACACGCAGTCGTGAGAAGAGTGACACGCTGAATGAAGAGCTCTTCCATAAATTGACCGGGGGCCATGAAGCCCTCTAGATGTAGGTTTCCAATAACTCAGTGGCAAATTATAACAAAGTAACATATCAAAGGACACAAAAGACTTAACTTTCCATTCGTTTATTATTACTATTGTGCAAGTATATGATATTGTGTGTGTTTGTTATTAAACTGTAAACATGAACATACGGTGCATATGAATTAAAATAGTAAAATGTCTCACTGTTCATTTCATGGTTCCTGTAAGATAATGCTAGGCAGTATCAGGCATTTTTAAAGAGGACATTTCCAGTCAATTATCTTGCCTCGCACACAGCACTTTTGGGAAGTACAACCAGTTTGCACAGACAATAGTTATTAGTCAGCTCAGTTTAATGTAATGGAAGCATGGCCCCTAAAAAAAACAAGATGATTTTTAGTAAATTGGTAAAAATATGTTACAATTTATTACAATTTCACAAATATCCTTTTACTTGTAGGCTTCAGCCTTAAAGCACAACTGAAGTATTTAGGTAGAAGTTTTCCCTCCGTGTCCCCAGGTGTTAACAACACGCCATTATCTGACCAAAAGAACTGAATACCATCTGCAACAGGTAAAAAGGACATGCATGAGAGAGGATCTGCAGGTTGGAGGATCTTGTATCTGACGCAGAGTCATTTACCAGACAGAGCTTTAGTGACATCAATGAAAATAGCCAAGTCACAGTCTTTTCTCATACCTGAAGAGGAATATTAGCACAGTTAAATGTTTGAGCTTTCATGTGTTGAATAAGGTTTTAAAGCAGTACATTCCACACTTGCCGCTAATAACACCCTCCTCTCCTGGAAGACCTGGTGCCAGATGAATATGAGTCCTCTTCATCCTGCTGAGACCATGTTGCTGTATAGCGGTCCAGTTTCTGAGAAAAGAACCATGGACAGCCTCAGGAGGACAGTCTGGGGAACCAGCCAGAACAGGCTTGAGCTCAAGATCTTTCACCTAAACACACCAGTAAAAGTAATTTTAGTTCCAAAATTAGTTCAAAACACCAATTATTTGAAGTATATTTCAAGTATATGGGAGTTATATAGTACCTGCAAAGAATGGCCTTGATTAGCGCGGATTTGCAAGCGCCCGTTATCTGCATGTGGCTGCAGTTTGAATCGTTGCTTATCATTTGACTCTACAACTCTTTTCACATCATCCAAACACCAGGAGCGAAACTGAGGGTGAGCCAGAAGATCCTCCACATACAGGAATCCATCTGAAAAAGAACATAACACTCAGTAACATTGACACTCAAATACTACTTTGAATCTGTGTCCTTGCAAACTTTACCTTTACTCATTTGAAACCCCATCTGATAGGCTCCATGACGAAGAACATATGATAAAGATTTGGAAAGTTGCACATCTCTGTCCTAAATAAATAGTAGAAAAATTGTAGAATAATTGATCCAAATATAAAATTAAGTGACCAAAACAATGGAATTGATTTGGATACTCTACCCACCTCTGATCACAAAAATGTTACTTCAAAATAATATTAACTAGTAGTGCAAAGTAATGATCCAATAAATTACTGTTAAGTGTTTACTTATCAATACACAAAATGTGATTAATTTATAGTTAACGTAACTGAAAGGACAAAACATGAAATAAGAGACATCTGATATCTTCACAGAATACAAAAAAGAAAAATTAGAAGGTAAAATCAGAATTTGCAGTGTAATTAATACAAATTGTTCATCATTTCATTTCATAGATTGTGTCACTTACAGTCCCTGACAAAAGTCTTGTCGCTTATCCATTTTGTAGAAACAAAAGCTTATAACCTGACTTTAAATTAATCGATTGGTTTTAGAAATGTGTCATATGAAAGCTAAAACCCTCCCAAATTATGCTCAAAAGACAAAAGTCTTGTCACCTTGTCATATGATGCACCCAATCCTAGATTACAGCCTCACCTGTGATCAGTTACTGATCAATCAGTTAGTGTTTGTGTATAAAAAGAACCCCAGCACACCAGACCTTCACATCAAGTGCAACTTGACCTCTGACAACATGCCTAAGATCCACCCTGAGACCAAAGCGTTAATTATCAAGAGGCTGAAGACCAGATCCACTGCTGAGCTGGCTGACACCTTCAATGTGTCTCAGCGTCAAGTACAAAGAATAAGAAAAAGATCTGAAATGACTGGAGATGTTTTTGACAAGCCCAAGTCTGGCAGACCCCGCAAGACAACTGCTCGGGAGGACCGTTTGTTGATTCGAAAATCCAAGGCCAGCCCCTTTTCCACTGCAGCAGACTCCACCAGGCCTGGTCACCTCAAGTCCCTGTGTCAACCAGAACAGTTTGTAGAATTCTGTCTCGAAATGGCCTCCATGGTTGAATCAGTGCACAGAAACCAGCACTAAACAAAAGGCAATTAAAAAACCGTGTGGCATTTGCCAAGGCCCACAGCCTGCTAAAAGGATGGACACTGGAAAAGTGGCAGAAGGTGGATTTCTCAGATGAATCCTCTGTTGATTTACATCACAGCTGCCGCAAATATTGCAGGAGACCTACTGGAGCCCGCATGGATCCAAGATTCACCCAGAAAACAGTTAAATTTGGTGGTGGAAAAATCATGGTCTGGGGTTACATCCAGTATGGGGGTGTGTGAGACATTTGCAGTGTGGAAGGCAATATCAATAGCCTAAAATATCAAGAAGTATTAGCTACCTCTTACATTCCCAACCATAAAAGGGGTCAAATTTTGCAGCAGGATGGTGCTCCATCGCATACTTCTATCTCTACATCAAAGTTTCTCAAGGCGAAGGAGATCAAGGTGCTCCAGGACTGGCCAGCCCAGTCACCAGACATGAACACCATTGAGCATGTCTGGGGTAGAATGAAAGAGGAAGCATGGAAGGCAAAACCAAAGAATCTTGATGAACTCTGGGAGGCATGTAAGACTGCTTTCTTTGCTATTCCTGATGACTTCATCAACAAATTGTATGAATCATTGTTGAACCATATGGATGCAGTCCTTCAAGCTCATGGAAGTCATAAAAGATATTAAATATGGATCTCCCAGCACCACTACTTAATTCACTGACGTTATGCAACATATTTTTGTATTTGAAGTAAATTATTTGTTCAATTTTCTGTAGGCGACAAAAGTTTTGTCTTGCCAAAATCTGACCTTTCTGTGTTCATTGATCAATCTTTCTTTAGTGAAGCAAATTTATTTTAGTATACTGAGCATAATTTGGGATGGGTTTTAGCTTTCATATGAGACATTTCTAAAACGAATCGCTTAATTTAAAGTCAGGTTATAAGCTTTTGTTTCTACAAAATGGATAAGTGACAAGACTTTTGTCAGGGACTGTACAAACTTAACCAAATCTTGTATTGAAGTAGCCTAGTTAGTTGTATGTCCCACTGTAAAATGTATTTAAGAAGAAGAAAAAATATCTCAAGTAACATTTTATGCAAACTGTGGTCGAGTAAATGTAACTGCGTGTACATGTAACTACCCCCCTCCTGATTTAATTGATACTTTGCAATGACATCATGCTGGAGTTGTTCTACAGCCATCTCTTTGGTAAGCTCTTCAGCAGTGGAGACACAATGCACACATTCGCAAACACTGTCGAAAAAGTTTAAGATGGACTGAGGCCTAAGACAAAATACAAAATGGCTTTAAAGAGGACATTTTCAGGAGCCTGTGATCAATACGAGCGCTTATGGTCCTGTTGAGGTGTTTGATTTTGAACAAAAAGGTGAGAGTGACCCACCTGTTGTTGTGCCAGCCAAGTCAGTTCTTTATGGTCAAATTGTGTTAAAACTAAATTCAGATTATCCTCATCAGATCTTAGATTCACACACACATCACACCCCCAGGAAATGTTGATGACATCGGCGACAAAGTATCAATTGTGATCAGTAGATATTCAATCTTCTTTTTACAGCAAACTACTACCGTGCTGTCTGATTTCTCAAAATAGGCAACAGACTTTCTTACTTCCCCACGTGGTTTACTCCTCCTTCCCTTTCTTCTGTCACTACTCATTTAAAAGTTGTCGATTTGCCTAGAATACTGTAAATTGTTGTTAAACTGGCCTATAAGATAAAAATATAGGAGCAGTTTACTCCAGCTCCATGGTTAACACATTAGACACGTTAGCCGTTTGCCTTCGTTGTGTTGGTTGGTGGCGCTGTAGCAGGCTATAGCCTCAGCGTCCGCAGAAGAAAATCAAAACATCCGCTGATAGCTCCATGTAGCACACAACCGTGGGTAAGAATTATAAATGTGTGTATTCTGATCATTTTGCTTTAATCTACTGATAGTAAAATCAAATCGGTGCTTTATACGTATAACATATTAATCATGTGTTACGACGCTACTGATTTTTGCCTCTGAATTATCCAAAAGGCTGCTAGTTATCCATTCATTGTTTACCTGCGTAATACAACTAATTTTCTCAAACAGATAAAGAAAAAAAAAACATCACAATAATTAGACCTGTGTTTAATGGGAATGGGGGCATAACATTGTTTATGTGCTGATGTGGTATAAGGAGGTATGAACCATTAGAATGAATGAACTGTACAGTTACTTCAAATTCTTATTTTATGTTGTTCAGGTCATGGAGTTTCCCCAACATTCTCAGCAGCTGCTGTCAGCTCTGCGTTGCCAGCGCCAGCGTGGGTTCCTGTGTGACTGCACTGTTTTGGTTGGAAACTCCAGCTTTGTTGCTCACCGTGCTGTGCTAGCCTCCTGTTCCCCTTTCTTTCACATGTTCTACTCAGACTCTCCAGGAAGCAACAGTGAAAATGGCACCAGCGGCTCTGTTACTCTTGATAGTGACATTGTTACAGCCCCTGCTTTTAGTTTACTCTTGGACTTTGTTTATGAAGGTGTATTAAAGGTGGAAGAGTCCCCTCCTGTTGAGGATATACTGGCAGCTGCCAGTTTTCTTCACATGAATGAAGTGGTGAGAGTGTGCAAGAAAAGACTACAAAGACGTGGCCCTGTGGCAGAGGCAGATAGCACTCGCCCTGAAGAAAGCTCTGGTGTTAAGGCCCTAGTGATGGGAAGAGAAGAGGGTGAGAACAGCTCTCATGGACTAAAGCTAAACTCTGTCAATGTTACAACACCTCATTCACATGTTTTGCTTCCAATAGACAAAAACCAGCAGGATCACGTTAAGATAGAGCACAGACGTGCAGAGAGGACATGTGAAGGACAAGTTGACCATTCCCAGAGCCCTAATCTTGCTGATACCACCCAACCAGGCATGGGCATCTCGCATGGCCCTCCCAACAACCATCTTTTGGCCCCACATGCCTCTGCCTCAGAGAGTCAGTCTCAGGAGGGATCTGTGGGTGAAGGAGCAGGACTAAGCAGCCCATGCAGCACCACAGAGGCACAAAGGTACTATTTTGGTTCTAAGTTAAGCAAGTTTTTCTGTCCAATGTTTTATGTTTTTTTTTTTTTGGTCTTTTCTAGCCACAGCACTAACCAACAGCCGTCCTCGTCATCATTGATTCCATCTGCTAAGGTTCCTGGATGTTCAGTAGTTTGGCTTCCCGGATCAGACCTGTCACCCGGGCCCCATGCCACTAGACCAATCCAGGAGTATGAAATATTAAGGAAACACTCAGAGACAAGCGACAGAGGTGAATCTTGGGCAGGCGAGCAGATATCAATGTTAATTCAGACAGTTTCCTCACATTGTAAAAACACAGCACCCTCACAGCTGCAGCAAACACTTCAAATTCAGAGTATAATGTTAGAACACCCAAGCTCAGAAATTCACAATGATACTGCATCAAAACATCTGACTGGGCATCAAGGGGATTATGAAGCTGTATTACCTAGAAAGGCCACAAATATGGAACCAAGCATAGCTGGTGAAAATGTAAATATAAAAGTCGAAGCCATTGTTATTTCTGATGAAGAGCAAGAAGAGGAGAAAGAGGAAGCGCGAGAGGTTCTGATGGAAGTGGAGGATGACTTTGAAGGAGACAGTCAACAAGAGGGGCTGAGATCTCAATATAGCTCTGATGCTCACTTCCAGCTTCCAGACTATTCATTCCCCCTCTCCCCATCTGATGCTGGTCCATCTTCTCAAGGTGGCACTGCTTCCTCTACAGCACAATCTGAAAGTACAGTCTATTTCCAGGAATTTCAAGACTCTATGGGAAACTTTGTCGAGGATGTTCCAACGTGTAATGTCTGTGGAAAGACATTCTCTTGCTCATATACACTTAGGCGTCATGCTATTGTACATACCCGTGAGCGCCCTTTTGAGTGTCGTTACTGCTACCGGAGTTACACACAGTCTGGTGATTTGTACAGACACATACGCAAAACCCACGACCACACGCTGCCGGCCAAGCGCAGTAAAGCTGACGCAACTTATATGGAAACACATACCCTCCAACCTCCTCCACCACCTCCACCACCTCCACCACCTCCACCTGTAAGCTAGCACTATTTTTTTTATCTATCTGGACAAATATTAGTAGGCAGGCACTACATTATGATTCCTCATAATATAACATTAAACTCACACAACGTAATACTATGATTTTAACTTATGGGAAGCAAAAATGTTTTTAAAATTGTTAAAAGCTTAAGCTCAAGGTTATGACTGGCCAAAATGCTCTGATCAGTTTTATACAGATTTATTGATTTAATTTTTCTACATTAATATTTTTAGGTATTACCAGAAAAAAAAAAAAGAAAAAAGTTTTATCACAATGACCCTTTAGTGCTCCCCATACGTCTAGACTTTTTTTTTTTTTTTTTAAATCAACCCACTGGTCCATGTATCTGTAATCAGACAAAGTACAGGTTATTTGATTAGTATTAACTAATTTTGTAAAATTGCCTTTTGTAACTTCTACACTTACTGCCTCAGCTAACTCAGGCCAGTCCATTGCCATCACAATTGTGTCATCTGCGCTGGGAGGGGTTTCTAGATTCCAATATGTCAGCTTGTCAAATACAGAGGTAACGCGAACTGTTCTGTCCTAAAAAACACACACACATACAAACAAACATATGATTTTGTGGTGTGAATAAATCCATATCACATATAAACACAGCTTTACCTCTTCCTCTGAACCTGGCCTGTTGACTTCTTTTAATACAAGACCAGTGTAGCCTTGTGGACAGTTGACCTCTTGTCCCTTGAGCCCCCGGCCCCTAAAGGACACTGTCTGCTCTATGAAATAAAAATAAAATAAAAAAAGCAAAACATTATGTCATCAGAGGTGGGTAGTACACAGTTACATTTACTTGAGTTACTTTTTAAGGAAATTGTACTTTTTTGAGTAGTTTTTGGACTACATACTTACTTGCTTAGTCCTACTTGATATTTTTTGTTGATTATTTTGTTTGAACTAGTAATGGTTGTCTTGAGTAAAACTTGTGTTACTACTACTGTGCTCTTCAAACTGTAATGTTTCATGTTTTCATATTGCGCATTATTTAAAGGTCCATTGTGTAATTTATCTGGTAAGGGGTCTGTCAAATGCTTTTCTCCATGGAGATGTTATTGCTTTGTCTGGAATGTTTCACAGTATGGTTTAAAATGTTTCTATCATCACAGAAACCAAACCAGACCAACTTGCAGGTCTGGTCTGTGGTGAGGCGACCCCGCTCAGAACTGTTTTGTCTCCATTTTTGAGCTATAAAACCACCTGTAACTGAAGAAATGTAAGGTAGAGCTATTTAATGCCATAGTGTGGATAATTCCATACAAAGCAATAACATCTCCATAAAGAAAAGTAGGATCCGCTACCAGAAAAGTTACATCATCTTACATTAGATATATAATCTTATATTAGATCCAGACAGTTGGCCTACTTACACAATTACTCTTACACGAGTAGTACTTTTCCCAGATACCCTTTTACTCTTACTCAAGTAATTTCTTAGGGATGTTACTAGAGTAATTATCCTTTGAAGTAACGTTACTTTGGTCACCCACATCTGTCTGTCAGCGGTTAACAAGGGGCATGCATCTATTGTACACGCCATACCATGTTTGCAGTCCTTTACAGTGGCAGAGAAGTACTCCGTGATCTGTGCAGGTCCATTGTGCTCGATCTCACAAGGCATTAGATGGACCGGGGTGCGCGGTGCCTGTGCAGCCTGTGGCAGCTGAAAGCGGATCACGCTGCTGTTACAGGACATTGCACTCTGCCGCACAAATGTATATTACTGTTCAGCAGAACAATACTGAAAACAGAATATGTTTAAACGATATAAATAAACAGACTGATCGTTTAACATTTTATATGAAAATTATACTGGGAAACTCTCTTTTACCTTATATCCTTGTCTGTTTTTTCTGTTATAAAATATTTCCGGGTAAAGCTTGTTAGTGATTTCTGATTCGTCCAATGTGTCTTCTTTTACTCTATAGGTCATTTGGCGGGTGTTTTTGGTAACTAGCAATTGAATGTTGCCCCCTATAGGTTGCAATTAATATTGAACTTGGACATAGTTTTTTTTTCTTGCCTGTAATGTTTTTTTCAAGAAACGAATCTTAAAAGTAAACTCACTGATAACAGAAGTAATTAAGACAACAGAAGCACCAATGCGCGTTGTGGGGCTTATATGACAAAGAAGTCTGAGAGTCTAGTCTACACTGTTGTAACTCTTACTGTGGGATGGACTAAGCACTCCCTGCCCTATAAAAGAAATGGAAGTGGCCGTTCTACTATTTAGAACCTATTAGGAGGTTAAGCGACTATTTTGGATTGCTCCAGCCTTAGCACAATGCCGGAGGTAAGTAGTTTGTTTGATTTATCAAGCAGAATGCATAAGGCACTATGTAACTTTTCTGGTGGGGGTCCATCACTTGTCTCCATGGAGATGCTGTTGCTTTGGATGTTACAAAGTTAGGTATGTCTAACATGCCTATCACCTTTACTCATTTATTTATTTGTTTTTATTGCTAAAAATACATTGAAAAACCTGTAACTTGTTTGTGTTGTCCTGTCTCCACGGACACACATGTTTAATGCCAATATGTGGAACCTTTTAGGCAAATCAATATAATATCACGGAATAAAGAAGCTGATATAGTAGAAAAGTTCCATAGTGCATGTTAATAGCATATTTCAAAGATTTAAACCTAAGTCAAAAGGCATTTTAGATATTGTTATTTAATTTTCCTTGTGCAAACTTAGTGTTGCAGTCATTTGACAGCTGCTTGTGACTGAGATTAGATACAGTGGTGTCACACTGGTTAGTGCTGTGAATGAGATGATGTGTTTTTACCTTTCATATCTTCATTACACATACACTATGTTGAATGCTAACTTAGTTTTCCTTTTCTTTTACAGACAACAAGTTTTATGGAACATGAAGGCCTGTTGCTGTCAGCTGATGAGGTCGTAACTCCCATAAATCGACTAATGCTCAAGATTCAGAAAACTGTTTCAATGGCGGTAACACAGGCCCGTCAGAGAATTCTGCAAGGCTTTGTGGTGTTTTCTGTCACTTTCTTCTTACTTTGGATTGCAGCCTTTTTATATGGAAGCTTCTACTACTCTTACATGCCCAAAGCAGCTTATTCTACCCCTGTGCACTATTATTACAGGTGGGACTCTCAGTATAATCACATTGTCTTATATTTTCTTGTCATGTCTAAGGTTTTATCCATTTAGAACAGACTGTGAATCTCCAGATTCTTTCATGTGCTCATACCCTGTGGCAAACATCTCTTTAATGAAGAACAAGAAGCATGTACGTATGTTTGTACTTATAACTAATTATAAAGAAAATAAAAATGACATTTTGTTGATTATACACGCAGGTCTTAACATTATACATATATTTTGTTGATTATATCCACAGGTCTTAACATTTGGGCAAGCCTATCGACTATCTCTGCAGCTGGAAATGCCTGAGTCTCCAGTCAATCAGGACCTTGGGATGTTTATGGTTAGAGCTACTTGTTTTTCACAAGATGGAGGGCAGGTTGCCTCATCTTCCCGTGCTGTGAGTAACTTTGCCTCTTTTGACATTAATAATAATAGAAGCAATATCTAAAGTACTTTGTCTGTCTTACAGCTGTCTGCCTCCAGTTCCCATTTTGTAAGTTGATGAACAACAAAATGTTTCAAAATAGTCAGTATTGTTGTAATCAGCTGACTTGCAAAATAGAAATGAAATGAATTTCATAGACAAATATGCTGTTATAATGCTGCATACATAACTTGTTGACAATACAAAACAAACCAAATGTTATCATGTTGTCCCTTCATGTCAACAGGGAATCCTGCGATACCGATCAGAATTGGTAAGGACTTTGGAGACACTCCTTCTACTTCCTGCATTTTTGACAGCAACCACTGAGCAGAAACAGGTGCTTGAGGTGGAGCTCTTCTCAGAATACACCGATGACCCAGTGAGTGGTTCAGTGTTTATATCGAATATTGACTGTAGTTCATTAATCATAGAGCTGTAATCATAGAAATATATAGGCTCAATGGGTGTAATACAATACGTTTGTCTTGCCATACTTAGTACGCTCCCTCAGATACTGCCATTATTGAGATCTTGTCCAACAAGGTGCAGATCTACTCCTCTCGGCTTCTCATTCATGCTCACTTCACTGGTTTAAGGTAAACTACGGCCTAGCCATTACCTGACCCTTAAAATTGATCACTCATTCACTCAACCATACACCAAAGTTTGACTGACTGTCGTTTTTTCTTTCTTTTTTTTTTTAGATATTTGCTGTTTAACTTCCCACTCATCTCAGCAGTGGTGGGTGTCTCCAGTAACTTTATCTTTCTAAGTGCTCTTTTTGTCTTAAGTTATATGAGACAGATGTTGAAACTGAGGCAAAAACCTGAGGAGGTAGGAGTCCAATTAATTTGCAGTGAAGGAACTGAACTTCGCTGTTGACCTTTTTTCACTTTTTTATTGCTTTTATTTTGCAGCTTACATCCAACAGTCTACCAGCACTGCAGTGAGCGGGAGAGGAAGAATGTAGTAGAGATAAGAAAATACGTATTAAAAATTTTGTGTTTCTAATATTAGATTTCATGTTACATACATTTATAAAACAATGCATTTTTTCAGGTTCAACTGAGCAAATAGACAGAAACATACATAGCATTGTTGTTTTCCTTCTGTATATTTTTAATCCTAATGTTATCGTAATCTTGTATTTTTTTTTCTTGTATTTTTTTTCTCCCAATTGAAATTGCAGTTTTCTGTACTATAGTGCTATAAAACTCATACTTACTTAAAATGTGTTGTTTGAATTGTTGTGAAAATTTTTTGTACTGCTATAATTAATTTCTTGTATTGAATCTTGATTAATTTTACTTGATTATTTTGACGTTTTTCTATTTCAAGAAAACTATGATATAAATACATGCTTATACCTTCTAAACATTAGTGTGGTTTTCCGACACAGTATTTTACCAGTTATTTCAGAGATATGATTGGCATGATTGGTAGGCATTATTGTCAGTGCATCATCAAAGCCATGGTCATTCCTGGATGTACTATCACTGCACCAAGCTGTGGAAACTTCATAACGTCACTACATGCAAAACAGCAATGGCTTTAGTTTGGGGATGTGCTTATAATAACAGTCTCTATCACATTGCTATGAGGCTGACAGTTACAGGTAAAGGCATGCAAGGTAGGCAAGACATATTCTTTCACAATATTCATTCATGATAAGATAAGTTGTGTATATTTTCACTTATTCAATGTTCAGAGTTGTGTGAGCTTATGTGGACCTGAAGGAGGAAGGTCAAGAATGGAGGAACTGCATTCTTATTTATAAAATATCCAGTATAGACTTAGGAGCGATGGAGACAGATACAACTAACAACCAAACAGCAGATAATGACTTGGTGGATGAATTGTCTGATGACATGAAAAAAATTTTTTTGGTCAGTAAAAGGTCTTTCAAAGTCTTCTCCAGACCTAAACTTCAAGCCACAAAAAGCTTTCCTCCATACAGTCAGTGCATCGGGGGACTGGGACAAGATACAGAAATGGACGTAGAACCTTCTATTGAACAACAAAATGTACAAGAAAATGCTGCTGTTAAAATTGATGAAACCAAAGACAATGGGATTGAGTTGACAGCTAGATGTACTAGCCCTGAATTAAAGGAAAAAAGGAGGTTGAAGAGAAAGGATAGGTTGGGGGGAAGTTGTGAAATGTGTCTTGATGAATGGGAAAATATAAAATGTCTGAGGAGAGGACAAACAGAAAAACTTGGACATGGCATCAATGAGGACAAAACTTTAAATGGAGAAATGGAAAAGTATCAAGATGGCAAGATGGTGGGTAAAAAAAAAACAGAAATGTGCAATAGAAATGAAGACATAGGGGAGCAGTCTCATCAGCGGTCATCTCCACACCCCATCCTGTCCAAACTGCTGCACTCATCCACGTCTTCCTCCTGCTCCTCCATCTGTGCCTCGTCTGGAGAGAGTGATGAGGTCTTCAGTGAAGGAGAGGGTGCTGTGTCCAAGAGGAAAACATTTAAGAAGGTGATGCATGTGCTGTTTGAATCTAGTAGATCTTACACTTGAATAGAAAACATGTTTCCCCACTGTTCTGTTCACTTGTGGTCCTGCTTATTTGCATGAGATGAAAAAGACCATTGAGAGTATTATATTTGAATAATGTTTGCATGCCTGGCTGCTACTTTGCTGCTCTAGCCATATTTATGTACATGCATTTTTAAAATTCATTTTTACATTACCCACATGACTCCTGTTTCTTCAGATATCTTCAAATATCTATCAAAAATAATAACCTTAACATAATCCGACTTGAGCCTTTAAAGTTGCAATATTCATCTAAACATTTTCAGTCAAACATGTGTACTGTATAATAATCTTGAATTGTGTTGTTTACAATAAGCCACAGTTTTTAAAAGTTACATAAAATAAAAATCTATTGAAACATGTCCCTTCTTTGCCCCAGAGTCGATCCTGGAAAACCTTTTTGACCATGATGCACTGGTCACTGAAGAGACAGAGTTCCTGGGTCCAGCTGGCTGGACATCAAGGCATGTGAAATCCACACATAAACTTTACCACCTGTGTCCAGAATCATTATATTCAAATTTTATAGTTTGGTTAAAAGCAAACAAACTGTAGCGAATGCAGAATAAAAATGTAATATAAAAGGTTGTTGCAGTGCTTATTGGACCTAATCGTGTACATGAGCTTGCGAGTGATAAATGGACTGCTATTATATAAAAAATTTGAATATTAATAGTCACTTTAGCATTTCCCATCTCTATTACACATCAGGGGCCAACATAATGTGATCACATTAGAAATCTAGCAAATGTCCCATCAGAGAAGGAGACCATGTTTTGAGCTATTGTGCTATTTTAAAATATATGTTTATGCAGCATACTTAAGTTTGGACTCACTTTTAGCCAAAATTAATTTAATGAGATTGTTACCTGCATATTTTGAACAGGAAACTTTCAGCTGAGTGATGGGGGTGAGGTGCTCAAGTTGTACAGTGAAGTTGAGGCTACCTGTCTGGACATTTTAATGAAAGACCCTTTGAGACCCTTTGTGCCACAGTATTATGGCTTGGTGACCAGAGGAGAGCTCTGCTACATTCGCCTGGAAGACCTGCTGAGTGGTCTCAGGAGGCCAGTTATTATGGATTGTAAGATGGGAGTCAGGTGGGCTATGAGTTAATGATGTATTTAAAAAAACTTCATAGCTAAATGCTTATGGTCCGATGTCATGTCTTTTTTTTTTTTAAATATCAGAACCTACCAGGAGGAAGAAGTAATGAAAGCACAAACCAGACCACAGCTGCGTAATGACATGTATCAGAAGATGGTCAAAGTGGATCCTTCAGCACTGTCATCAGAGGAGCATGCTCAGATGGGAGTGACCAAGTGGAGGTACCTTCACTGGAGGGACACTACCAGCTCCACCTCTACCCTGGGCTTTCGTATTGAGGGCATTATGGTATGAGCTAAGTTCTTCAAGTGTACTATTCTCATTTACATTGGTGTATTTTATTGTTTTAATAGATGGAGGATGGAAATATTCGACGAGACTTCAAAAACATTTTGACATTAACTCAAGTAACGGAGACGCTTCTTTTCTTTACCAGAAACCAGTTGAATGTCCTGGTAAGTCACACTCACAGTAAATATATTTTGAAATTTTATATGTATGTATATATATATATATATATATATATATTATATATATATATATATATATATATATATATATATATATATATATATATATATATATATATATATATATATAGATAGATATATATAGATATATATAGATAGATAGATAGATAGATAGATAGATAGATAGATATAGATAGATAGATAGATAGATAGATAGATAGATAGATAGATAGAAAATGAAAAAAGCAAGAAACTGTAAAAGGATATTTATGCATAATTTATTTATAGACTTGCTCACTGTGGGAAGAATAACTACTACTCTGAGTACTAAGTAAAAGTACTTAAAATTTTGTAGCCTATTCAAGTACTTTATTGGTGTCAGAAAACTATTCTCTGAGAATTAGTCCTACAATGTCTTCAAACAGTTACTGAGTAGATGTAACCTCTGCATATTCCTTCTTTCTTATTTTGCTGTCAGAAAGCATATCATTCAAGACTCCTGGCCCTAGATGATGCTTTGAAGTGTTCACCATTTTTTAGAAAACATGAGGTTGGTTACAGATATAATTCATAATAATGTTACTGAATTTCTGTAATAATATGAACTGAATTGTACTTCAGTCTTGAGTATAGATACTTTACTTCTTTAGGTGATTGGAAGCTCTCTGCTGTTTGTTCATGACCACAGCAATAAGGCCAGTGTTTGGATGATAGATTTTGGAAAACCACGCCTATTCCAGAGATAAGTGAGCTTAAACATAATGTGCCATGGACCCAAGGCAGCAGGGAGGATGGTTACCTCCTGGGCCTCACTTCCCTCATCACTTCACTGAGCCAGGCCATAAGTAAAGCCTCTTGGCAACCAAAAGACTGAGAGTGACTTAGACTGTTGTATGTAATAATACAGTGTGAAGTTTATTGCTTTAAATGTTTGCTTGTTATTTATATGTAAAGGAATAAAAATGTACTTTTAAAAAAAAAGATTTGCCTACATATTCTTCAAGCATAAAAAAATATGTACATAACTCTATGAGAGATTTACAAATTTTTTAAAAACAAAAAACAAAACAAAAACAAACAAACAAACAAAAAACATCAAATGTATAATCCATAAATGTTAAGCCTATAAATTTTGTTTGGGACTGGCTCCGCATCAGCTACTTTTGTCTTAAAGTCCTTTGAGCTAACAACTTTCAGGTTGGGTTTTAAGGGTTGAATAATAACATCACTTTTTGAAATTACTGTGAAAACCTTCACTTTTGTTCAGGTGTTGATCTTTGAGCCAGTTTTTGTTTTGTGGATAGACATTACAAAGATATTAACAACAAACACTGTTAAAAGATGCGTAATGTGACAATTAAACTGTATTCCCATGATAGAATTCTGACCTGTCCTTCACCTCACTATAGTTTAAAGTAGGCATCTTAGAAAGTTGAGATGTCACGTGAACACATCCTCTAGTAGTCTGTTTAGATTTGGTAGTCTGAAGAAACAAACAATATTTTAATAGTAATTTGAGAGCTACTCTACGTATAGAGTAGGCTTTAATCTAATGGCGGTAATGTGGTCGTACTCTTTATTTACATTATTGCACATGGGTGGCGCTATACATTATTTGGCGCACTTTCCTTAGTCTACTGTGATAAGCGGGATGTTGTTACCAGCTGTTGCTACCATCTGTGACACTGATGGCATTTTTTCTGTAACAAATTGTAATTGTTTTAATGCTAATTAAAGAAAGAGGTATTTTTTGTCCTTGTACCAGGGAAGGTAACTACAGAAACACGTGGTTTGCTAAGCTAACCTTGACCTTTCATGCATCGAGGCACACTATGTGTAGGGCAGTTGTAGGTTTGTAATAGGGTACAAGAGGCTGAAATTATTTTTAAGATGGACCGCATGACTTTCTTCCGGAGATTTTATCCAAATCTTGCTGTGACCACTCATGTCTTGAATCAAGGTAGATATGTTTTTGCTTGTTTAACAGTAGATATGTGCTTCTATTCATAGTTTATGTATAGTTTACGAACGAAGAAATCTGCTAATATGACCACAACGGACCGGCCTAGCTCCCAGTCTGATGGATGTGCCCCACGTGTCCCCATTTCTTTTTAACTACGTGTTTTTCATATTATAAGCAGCCAGTGTATTATGTTATCAGCATACTCTGAGATAACAGTGTGAGTATAATATAACTTTTATTTTACACTGTGTGTGTTCACTGGAGTTAATATGTGAATATATTGTTTGCTTCCACGCGGTTGGTTAAATTGAATTCGATGTTAACGTCTTAACTTCCGGAAGTAAAAAAAAAAACTAAAACTGCAGTACTTCCTGTTAGCAGTCGCTACACACACAGCACACTCAGGAGGAAGCTAGTGATCAACTCCTGCTAACAGGTTTTTAAAAAGGTCGAAATCATCTACGAATCCACAGTGCTGTTGGCAAGCGGCTGAAAAATAAGCTTTGGCTTTTGTGAAACAGATTTGAAAACTTGTGCTTGCTTTGATTTCCTCAAAGTTTTGCCATTTTATGATACGCTACTGAAGAAATATGGCGGACGGAGGGCATTACTACAATGGTAAGAAACTCCCAACAAAGATGATGTTACATATGTATCCGCGTTGTTTTTCCATAGGCCGTGGGGCGTTTATGGTGAGAAGGGAGGTCACTGATCATGAGTCTATGATACCTGGAGGTAAACGGCCGTGGTTATTGTTGTCATGGACTCAGCAGTCAAAACGTTGGCATTGTTTAATTTTTATTAACTGCGTGAAGTAGGGTTGTCAAAAGTATCGAAAATCAGATACTAATAAATACTAAAACTAATACTAACTAATCTAAACTGGATACTCATTTGAACAAATATTTATAAAAATAAACTGGACAACCAGTTTTATACTAGATTCATCCAAAGTAGTATTAGGTCACATGGTGATTATATGTTTGTGCTGAAAATGTATAAAAAAGGGCCTTTATTATTATTATCAAAATAGAAAAATTGTGTATTGAGCCAATGCCTTAGTATCTAAATAGTAGAAATTTTAGTGTAGTGACAATACTAGTGTTAAGTGTTTTTGCTGTCATGCATGCTGTCATATGATCTGCAAGTTTTTTTATATATATATTTATTTATAATCTAAATATATAGTGTATGATCAAGCTTCACTTGTGTGACTGCCTGTCTTCTAGAGCATGATGATCGAACCGCGCCATCATTCCGTACCCGCAAAGGCAGAGGACCCCACAAGGGACGGTTTGACCGATCGCGCAGAGATCGCCATCGTGGTGGCCAGTCGGGAGGTTTTGGTGATGGACCTGGACCGAGGTCTAGACTTGAAGACCCTGATGGAGATGTAACCATGAGTGATGGATCACAGGATAGTAGTGGACAGAACAGATTGTGAGTCAAGTGAACAATAAACCCATTCAAATGTTTCTGATGTAGTTTTAAAGTATAAAAGTATAAAAGTAATGATCAGTTTGACGTTGATGAAGATACCTTTTGGAACTTGATGTTTACTTAGAGATTTGTTCTTGGATGTTCTTTTTCAGTACCCCATATGGAAGACCAGGCAGGAAAGGTGAAGGAAGGTTTGAAAGAGACAGACGACCATTCAAAGGTGGTCGTGGTGGTAGTTTCAGAGGAGGAGAACGAGGTGGAGGAGGAGATAGTGGATTAGGGGCAAGGACACGCTCTGGCTGGTATAAAGTAACTGTAGGTATTTTTGGATGATCTATTCAGCCATGCATCCTGCTTTCATTAATAGTTATTTTCCAATCTTTTATAGATACCACATGGAAAGAAGTATGATAAAAAATGGTTACTGGCAGCTCTTCAGAATATTTGTTCTGTACCCTATACACCAGTGCAGGTGAGGTCTACTTAAGCAGTGTGACATAAATTATTTAAAAATGAAACTAAAGAAACATTAAGGGAAAAAATCAACACACTTCAAACACTTGTTGTTTTCCTTAGTACCACGTGGACCATAACAGAGCCCATTTTTATGTAGATGATTCAAATGCTGCAAATGCTCTGCACAAATGTTCTCACAAGATTACAGACGTGGATGGTTATAAGGTTAGTTTGTTGGTGTGCTGACTTTTGAGACTATTTTCGTGTCTGATTTTTATGTTAAACTGTGTATTTTTAGGTGGAAGTCCATGTTAATGGCAGTCATCCTCCTTCCTTTCTGATGTCTGATCTAAAACCTGAGCACTTGGAGCATCTTAAGGTAAGCCAAATGTTCCAAAAAGGTGGAAAGAATTATATTTTCAAGTGCAATAAGATGCTAAATTAATACATTATTTAAATATTTTTAGCGATGTATGGCAAAACGTTTTGATGGCTCACAGCAAGCTCTTGATTTGAATAACATCCGAACAGACCCAGGTATCTATACTATCTTGCTAAATTTCTGGCATTTATGCCAAATTATATATTGATCTTTCACTATTTTTGCCACAGACTTGGTGTCTCAGAATGTTGAAGTTATATTAAACAGAAAAACGAGTATGGAAGCTGTCATTAAGATTATAGAAGAAAACATCCCAGAGGTAACACAAGTTTAAAAAAAACTAAAAAACTCTCACATATAAAACTAATTTTGTAAAGCTTAAGTTATTAACTGTATAATTTCTAAATCCCCCTAGCTGACAAGCCTAAATCTGAGCAACAACCGCATTCACAAGTTGGATGAATTGACCGAACTGGTTACGAAGGTGCCTAACCTGAAGACACTAAATCTCTCCCACAATGAAGTAAGGCTAATAATAGTGTTTCTCTTTCTGTGGTTTTCCTATGCTGATTTTCATTACTTTTAATGCTTTTGTCTGTTTAGCTTAAATCAGACAGAGAACTGGAGAAAATTAAAGGCTGGAAGCTTGTGGAACTGTGGCTGAACAGAAATCCTCTGTGCGAACACTTCAAGGACCAGGCCTCATACATTAGGTCAGTCAGTGAGTTTGTGGTGTGAGTGGAGAGCCAGGCAAAGAAGCTGCAGTGGTACAGCTGTGTGTTTGTGACACGAGGAAGTATATATTTCCATTTGTGCTATAAACATGCTCCTTGAATAACAAACTTATCTATCCAGGAGTAGAGAGGACCACGCAGAACTGGCTGGTTGTGATCTTGCTGTATATACCAATTTGTCATATGTTTTATAAATGTGCAGAAACTGAATGTTTTTTTCTCTTTTAACAATTTAATCTGGTCTTTCTCTTGAGATTGCTTTGGAACTTCCTTTCTGTGACTGCAGGGACACTTTTTCACATGGGCTTCTCATTATACATCAGTCTTCTCCGTGACACTGTACCCAGCTCTCCTTTAAAAATTCTTGTGTATTAATTTTAATCTATTCAATCATTTAAATTGGGGCAACCCAGACAGCTATGCTGTTTTTACCAAAAAGAAAGAGAGCCATCACCACAAACGACAATACTTATGCATTGTTTAATGCCAAAGAGGACATTGTTTTGCAGTCCCAACCAAGACTTGATATAACCAAGGAAAAAACAGCCCTAATACCCCTCCCCTTGTAGCATTAATAACCATATAACCATTAATTCAGCGCCCTGTACCAGGCGAGTATGGAAGGCTGGATAGCCGATGACGGGTAAGATCCCACCTCCAAACCTCGGGACAACCTAAGGCAGGCACAGTCACGATTACTCTGCCTCAGTCCCTGTGAGCACCAGCTCATATTTTTATGTGGATGAAAGGGGGGACTGCACAGGAAATGCTGCTTGGCTCAGGTGGAGGGGTGTGCTGTACCTGTGATTTTTAACACACCAGAGGGAAGAAAAATGAATCTCTCCTACTCAATTGGTAGGCTTTGCCCTAGAACAACTTCTGATGTTCAAAGAAAGATATTGAAAGTCAAACCTCTTCTTTAAGGACAATTATAATATGGAACATGACCAAAAATTAAGGATTACATTAAAATATGCTTATGCAAATACATTCAGATATTATATTATACAGGCTTTTTGCCTGGATAAATACACTACCAAGAAAACATCTGTAAGATTTATTTATTTTTTATGAGGACTATTGGACAGCTGGGTTCAGCTAACTAGAGGGCTGATTTTTCTCTCTTCTCAACTTGCTTTCCTGCTCAGTTATCTTATACAAATATCATCAATGCTTTTGATAAATGTAAAATGTTCAGAAAGGCACAAAGCTAGCAGTAACCATCTGTCTTGGAGCATGTATTGTCATTTTAAAACTGTTTTTTACGTGGCCTTTTAGTTTGTGGGGGCCCAGCATGTATGTATGTGTGATCCTAGAAAAGTGTCTGATCAATATATGTCTCCATACTGATGCAGAAGGTGAGTATTAAGGCTGGTAAGTACACTACGGGTGGAAAAAATGAAACCATGATGATACCAAAATGAAAGGGGAAGAATTAATAGTCAGTGTTATTTTAAGTAACTCTCCATTTTTATTCATTCTTTATTACTCTCTTGGTTGTAGTCATGCTATATGTTAATATCTTCTTCCATATGCTCCAGACAGCACTCCAGCATGAATGTTATGTCACCAAAGGTTTAGGTGTGACTGAGAGTGGTAGACGAAGGTAGTTGATTGTGTAGCATGCATGTTCATAATTTGACACTAACATTTTATATTGTTATTTTTGTTTTTGTGTCAGTGCTGTACGTCAGAGATTCCCCAGACTTTTGAAACTCGTAAGTCTCTTCTCTTTGCTGTTTTTTGCATTGTCACTAATTTAGGGTAGAGTATGTTGAGTGTCAAATAATGAACAATGCAGATGCCCTTTATGTGTGTATGTGTGTGTGTGTTTATTTTTTTAGGATGGACATGACCTCCCTCCGCCCATTGGCTTTGATGTGGAAACACCAACCACTATACCCCAATGCAAGGTATACGGTCTTGTCATATTTGGCTGGCTGGTGTTTTTTCATTGTTTCTGTATTGAAGCAACACATGTTGTCTAAGGCACAGCATAAGGTTTCCTATTGTAATTTGTGTTTAAATTTAGGGCAGCTGTTTTGGTTCTGATGAAATAAAGGCTCTTATTCTCAGATTCCTTCAACAGTAAGTCTTGTATGTGAGTTTTTGTTATTCCCAAGCCTGGAACCATACAAAAGTTGTTCATAATTGTGTTGCAGATACTACAGTATATACGACTCATCAGACAGACAACCACTTCTTGACGCTTACCATGATGGTGCATCTTTCTCTCTCACTACTCCGTTCTCTTCACAAAATCCTTCCAGGTATATTCATATTGCACACAAGAAAATAATACTAGTGTTGCTGTAATCTTAAGTAATTTTTTTGTCTTTAGGAGCAGTCTCGGAGAATATCATAAAGACAGTCGAAATCTTAAGAGGTTGAAAGATCCTAGTAAGCTTTTTTTTTTTTTTTTGTCAGAAAGAACGTACATTATCGTTTGCTTTTTGATGAATGTCTCTTCAACTTTTCCTCTGTTCATTTAGCTATGCGGTTTCGTCTGCTGAAACACACACGACTCAATGTTGTGGCATTCCTTAATGAGCTACCCAAGACTCAACATGATATTGCATCTTTCACAGTTGATGTAAATACCTACACAGTAAGTATCTGAATGTCTGATTTTCGTCTGGTCTAACTTTGTAGCACATTGCCCATAAACATTTTGTTTCAAATTAACTCATAGTATGTTCATTCATTTTTCAGAACACCCTATTATCTTTCACAGTGAGTGGGGTCTTCAAAGAAGGCAAGTTGTGGTTATTAACAACTGACCATTCATGTTTTCTGGACTAATTTATTTTCTTATTTTCTGATTCAGTTGTTGTTGATGGAAAATCACGAGAGTCTACCATGGCCTTCTCTCGAGTTTTCATTACTGTCCCTGCTGGCAGTTCTGGGTAAGATAAACTTGGTTGATCTGAAAATTGAAACTACACATCTTAAAAACACTGCCTGATCAAACCTATGAACATGTATGTGTAAACTTGAGAAGAAGCATAATGGAAGATTGTAAATATGTGACCTAATCTGCATTACATGGTATGCACTGCGGTATAACTCTCCCATCAGCAATATAAGATCTTGGTGAAAAATGAATGTGACATTTGGAAATAAGTATGTTAAAGCTTGTTGAAAAGATTATTTAACAAATGTGTGTTGTAATCAAAGCTAAACCCAGCTGGTTCAATGAAATATTGACTGAGCTTTTGCAGAGCAGTGACATGTTAAAGTTACAGAAAATGATGTAACTTTACTAATTTTACCAATTTTCTGTTTTCTTTATTAACAGTTTGTGTATTGTGAATGATCATCTTTTTGTACGAATGGCTACCACAGAGGAAATTCGCAAAGCATTTGTTGCTCCAGCACCTACTCCATCTTCCAGTCCGGTTCCAACTCTCACAGCTCCCCAGCAAGAGATGTTAACTGCCTTTTCACAGAAGTCTGGCATGAACCTGGAATGGTCTCAAAAGTATGTGTTTGAGACATGGAAATATGATGATGATGATGTTTTTTTAAACTCTTGTATTCATTAAACACATATTCCTTTTAGGTGCCTCCAGGACAATGAGTGGGATTTCAACAGAGCAGCTCAAATTTTTACTCAGCTCAGGGTAACAAGCCATTTTTACTTCTTAATTTTTTTCTCAATGTTGATGTAATAATACATTAACATTGGATTACTTTCTCTTGCAGAGTGAAGGCAAGATCCCGGATGTTGCATTCATAAAATAAGCTCAACTATTCTGTGAAATAACATCTGCTGTTATTATTATTATTATTTTTTTATTTATACATTTCTTTTACTCTTCTTTACATAGCTAATGATGTAGATCAAGTTTACATTAGCTCTTGATTTAATGCTGCTTTGTTTTAACTGCATATTTCCCATCTGTTACATAAAAACTGATGTTATGATGCAATTTTGGTTGTACTTGTAACTTAAGTTTTTAGTAAATTCTATATTTCACTCACTATATATTCTCCAGTCCAGTCTTGTGACTTATGTTCTTTTGTGCATTATTAAACAATAAACTTGTTTTATACAACTTCAGTATACCGTTGTCAATTGATTGAAAGTTTAAAATCCGTGCATTTGTAGTAGTCGGGTTTGTTATGAAATTATTTTAAAATTGACATTGTTCGTATCATATCATAAGCATATCAAGAATAACTTAACATTTTAATAGTGTAGAAATAATAATTGGTACTTCCGGGGTGATACGTTGCTGTGACGCATGACGCACGCCGTCACATAACAATAAACAACCCTGAGACGAGGATACGCACCTAGAGGACCGAAACAAACCTGCCAAAATATGAACCGAAACGACCGTCGGAATTTAGAGTAATTAACGACTTGTCATTAAGTCTTCTGGGTCGCATCGGCTCTGATAGAATTTTGAGTGTCAGTCTTAGGGGCTAACAGGAGTTGTGGACTATCTTTTCCTTAGCCCCCAGTAGCTAGCTTCGATTCCTTTTCCATTCCTTGTTTTTGTACGCTCAGTGTTGGGTCTGTTATGCAGTTGTTAGAGGACTGTTGTCGTACTCGTTCTCCGCCAGCTCTTCGTTCCCTCTCCCCGCTATCTCTGGCCCCATGTCTCGCTGGCTTTTCCCCTGGTCGGGCTCCATCAAGAAGCGGGCCTGTCGATACCTTTTACAGCACTACCTCGGACACTTTCTGCAAGAAAGACTAAGCTTGGACCAACTGGGCTTGGATTTATATAACGGCAGCGGTGTTATCAAGGAAATAAACCTCGATGTCTGGGTGAGTTAGTTAAACAAAAAATAAAGTTTGTTTTACTGCTAGCTATCGTGTTTTTGTCTAAACCATAGTCCAAACTCTTTCGCAAGAGGTCTTGAGTTCAACAACAAACTATCGTCACGCTCTAATGCGAGCTCGCGTTTCTCCGAAGAAACTGAGTACTTGGAATGACATTTCATTTCTAAGAGATCAGCAACTAATGCATTATTGTATAATTGCGTGTGATCCATCCACTAATTTTACTCTTACACATTTTTCTTCCTTACAGGCGGTCAACGAGCTATTGGAGTCTTTGGGGGCCCCTCTGGAGATAGTTGATGGCTTTGTAAGCAGTATAACTGTAACCATCCCATGGCAAGCTCTGCTCACCGATCACTGCACCTTGGAAGTCTCTGGTCTACAGATAACATGTCGACCCAAGTACAGGACAAGTAAGTTCTTCTCATCACTGTACTTGCCCCTCTGTTCTTACTTATACACAAACAATCTTAAATATATTTCTCTTAATACATTATATCCTATGCAAATTGTGAAGGTGGAGGGTGGGACTCACAAGTTTGGTCATCAAGCATGACATCCAGCATGCAGCTGGCCCAGGAGTGTCTGAAGGACCCTCCTGAGACATCAGAAGACCCACCAGCCCCGTTGGAGGGGCTTGAAATGTTTGCACAAACTATTGAGACGGGTAGGATTTAATTTAATTTGAAATCTTATTTGTTTATATAATTTTTCTTTAATCAGACCTTATTACTAATAATTTAATTACTTCTGTTTGTACATAGTTTTACGTCGCATTAAAGTCACCTTTATAGACACTATTGTTCGCATTGAGCATCATCCCCTGGATCTGGAAACAGGTGTGGCCTTGGAAGTGCAAATCAAACGGTAATATTTGTGCATATTTGTATATCTACATTATTTGATGGAGGAATGTCTTTCACAATCTTTAAGTTAACCTGTAGAAGCAATATTTTGTAAACTGACACTTCTCACATGGTTTCAACAGAGTAGCTTTCAATGGCAAATTGGTTGTTAGTGTCAAACAATCTTAAAATCTTTTCGAAATGTTTTCCTTTGGCTTGTCACTATTATCTGTGAGATTACAGTCATTAAGTTGTAGGAGTATAGTTGTAGGAGTATAGTACTATGAATACAATTTTTATGACAGAAAAAAAGACATCAGTTACACCAAACATGGTACAGATCCTATATCTTATATTTTCGTATATTATATCTTCCTGGTCTTGTTTGTGGAGCAGGCTGGAGTACTTTGATGAAGCAGTGCGGGACCCTACTAGTCAGACAGCTGTGCCAGTTGACATACACCAGCCCCCTGCTGTCCTGCACAAGATCCTGCAGCTGAGTGCTGTTCAGCTTTTTTATGACAGCACTGGTATAGGACAGGTATTGTATCTGAGATTGGACAAAACTGACAAAATTTTGTGTCCACTCAAAGAGTCTATTTCTGCTTGTTAGGATCACCCTGAACATAAAGATGCAGTCAGTGAGGGACACAAAGAGGGTGATGAAGGTGGCAATGAGGGGAAGTCGTCCCCTGTCTCTCAGCCTCTTCTCATTGGAAGCTGCTCTGGCTTTATTGAAACTATTGTCAAGATCAAACAGAATGACATGCTTCCTGGACCAAAGGTTTGATAAATTTCTTTCCTTCCTTTGTCTGTGTTCATACATACATACAATACATAACTTGTGTTTTTGTTACTATAGACATTAGGCTAAAGCATTTTCAAAATAGACTGTCAAGACAATTTACAAAAGTAAATTTTTTCTATCCTGTCATTAGTTTGAGTTAGATGGGAAGGTGGGCTGTGTTCACATGCTGCTGTCTCCAGATCAAATAACCCATCTCACCGACCTGTTAGCAGCCCTCTGCATAAACACAGGTATTGTGTAAATGCCAAATGCAACTGTAGTTGTGTGTTCCATGAACTTAATGTTTTTCCTTGTCTTTTTAAATACATTTTGGACATTGTGTATTTAACAAATCTAAAAACATTTGAAATACCTTTTTAATAAAACAGTAAAACTAATGAGTCATTTATGTAACTATTTTACAGAGGTTGATAGTAAGGTTGGTGGAGTGCACTGTCGTCCTCTAGACTCAGATGATTTCCGTATGATTGAGGAAGATCTCAGTAAACAACTTGGTTCTAGCCCAAGAGATGCAGAGTGGGAAGATGAAGCCGAGCTGGAACCTTATGTGACTGGGCTGGAAAATGGAGGTAGAATGTGTTCAAATAATAATAAATAATAAAATATGTGTATGTACACACACACACACACACACACACACACACATATATATATACATTTCTGTTGTAATTATATAGTTAATGTTTTTATTTGCTTTGCAGAAATGTTTTACTCAATGGGTCCTGCAGGGATGACTAGTAGTGTTACATCTGTTCGTTCTGGAAGTGAGATGTCAGACAGTGATATGGAGTCTTCTTCTCATAGTCTTTCTAGTCTTGCCCAACCCACAGTATTAACTGTACAGGTATTGTTCTATTGTTTTTTTCTTAAAATGTTCCTTTGAGGGTAATCTGGGGTTTACTTTTTTATCAGGGGATGGTGAATTGTCCAAGACGATATCCAGTAGCTGGCTGCTTGTCAAGTCTCCCACAATCCAACACAAGGCTCAGAGGTAATATACATTTCAGTGCATATGAAGAATATTGGGGCATATTTAGTAGTTTAATTTCTGCAGTACAGTTTATGTTTGACTTGTGACTGTTTTGCAGGACGATCACGTAGCAGCCAAGCAGAACAGATGAAGCCTGATGCCCTGCTACGTCTCACACTTGGTGGGCTTACACTCACTCTTCTTCAAGAGGATCCATCCACCAGCAGCCAAATGGCCAGACCTTTAGCCCAGGTGTCTCAGGTCTTCTTTAAGGAGCTGGTGTCCTTTAAGGACAGCATGTTTAGTGAAAGAGACTTCCACCATTTAAGAAGTAGCTTTGCTAAAGCTTGTCCACATTCCCACCTCAGGTACAGCTGCTTTTAGTGGGTTCATTTTCACAGTGTGCACCTGATTGTAAGCTGAAAATATTCTGTCTTGCTATTTAAGGTTAACTGGAGCAGCAGTGCAGGTTTCTTGTGAAATGCGGAGTGGAAGACGCAGCAGTCGTGCAGTGACCTCTGACCTCTCCTTCAGCAGACTGGAGCTGCTGGAGTGCCTTTGGGAGGAAGGCAAGCCACAATACAGTGAGGTAGAAAATGTCTGACTCATTACAGCAAATTATTCAATTAGTCATCAGCTCTAGATTTGAGATTTTTAATAATGTATGCAATTTGTGTTAAGCAACTAAAGAACTGCGAATTTTAAAACATTAATGGCATTTTTCCTGTCCTGCCATGTCTTTTAGCTGATTCAGTTTCAGAAAGCAGGTTTGTTCACAGTGGGATGTACAGCCAGACCATGTGCTCAGCTGCACTACAGCCTCAGTGAAAAACAGCAGAGAAAGGTATGTCCTGTGTGTATCAAAGAGCAACAAGTCTCGCGTAATGTTACTATGATAAAACACACAAAAGCTAACTGAAAAATACAACTATAGACAGAATTACTAATTTCTGCATATCTCATTTCTAAAAGATTTCCGGAATACAATCACCTATTTTATTTCTGTAACTACATTTTTTTAATTGTTAATATATTCTGCACTTCATGCTAAAACCATTACCATGTGTCTTACTAGGGTAAACAGCGGATCTTCAGAAAAGAAAGTGTGGTGCGAATAGAATTAGCCGAGCTGACCGCAGAGTTGGACCTGGACATCCTCAGTCGTTTGAGTAACCTGAGCAGAGCCTTCAGTCACTGCCCGTCACAGAGTCCAAGCCCCGGGCATACACAGGTAAATTTGGATTTAAATACTACTCAATTCCCATAGGTGCATACTGTCCACTACACTTTCCTCTGAGTACACAGGGGAATGAATATGTGGAAATGGGGGTGAGTGGTTCCTTGGATGTGCCAGATGGAGGTAGAAAAGCACTTTATAAATGATGCCATTTTGCCATTTTAGCCTTGATTCTAAAAAATTTAACCATAAGTCTGTTATGTCTATGTAAAATATTTTTTTGCTAGTCTTGATCACGTTAGCTAGATGAGTTAAAAACAAAGAAATGTTCTATATACTCTTTACTGTGTATATAGTTTTTATGTAATTTTGTTTAACATTTGTATTATACTAAACTCTCCTTCTGTTTTCTTATCCTCTTTTAGACCCAGGGCAGTGAGCTGTATTCTTCCTTCTCTCTTCTCTCTCCTCACGCTGTCCTCAGATTGCGCTTTCCCATACCAGACTTGCGGCCTCCATCAAAGCGCAGACTCCCAACCCAAAGAGCTGTTCGTCAAGAGACCTTGGTCCTGGAATTGGATGAACTAGAGGTCAAACACCAAGAAGCTCCAGACCTCCAGGAGCAGACCATGCCGGGACAGCCTTGGGCACCCAGCCTCACTCAGTTGCTTGAGGCTTCCTTTACCAACCTTCATGGTAACGTAATGTTCATATTGTAAAACAGTCAATGTATACTTTAATCATTTGTGTAATCCAATGCCTTTGTAAACATATTTTTAATTTTAAATATATTTTCTGCACCAGGGTCTTATGAGGGCTGGGAAGGAGGCTCTTTCCCATGTGTCAGAGTACAGAAGAGTAAAGACTCTATCCCCAGGTAGGAGGCTGTTACATTATTTAGTAAGTAATTTTCTAATGTGGAGCCTTGTCTGATTTGGCCCCATTTTCAAACTGCGCATGCTCAAATATTTTGAAATTGCTAGAGTAAACATACTTGGGTCAAACCTCATGTTTGAGATTTGTTTGATAAAATTTACTCTTAGACTGTAAACTGTTTTACTGACAAAATAGTTGCTCTGTAAAAAGTGTTAGTAACCGTAAAACTGAGCAGAGCTGAGAAAAGCATCACTTCATATAGTTAATCTTGATGATAATGAGCAGAAACAAAAATTTTAGTTTTTCTTACTAAGATCAATCTTGGTGAAATAATCCAACTTTCATCTACATTTAAACTGAACACTACCTGGGGCTACAGTGGATAGAACCCACAATAAACACATTTTAAAGGTGCCCTGCTCTCTGCTAACATGTAACACTCTGGTTATGACCAGGATCTCAGTGCGTGTCCGTGGTGGGGAGGCCCATGTCCCAGCTGCAGGAATGGGTGGAGTGGGCCTCATCAGAGACCAAGGAGCTGCCTTTTTTGAAAGCCACTGTGAACTTCAAGATAAAACAAGCTCACCCTTCTCTTCTAACCGGACAATGTTTGAAACGGAAGAGGTGCAAGCAAAATGACAGTTTTCTTGCTGAATTGAGTTGTATTTTATTCATTCATTTGTCTGCTATAGATGGTGATTCCTGCAGATGCAGAAGAGATGAAACAGTTTCAAGCCCAGTCTGTTGCTCATTGTCAGTGTGCTGTGGATATCAGCCTGCCTTTGGTTTACATTCTGCTGCCTAGTAAACAGGCCTTCCAGAGTATCTACAACAGGTTTGTGGCAAAACATTGGAGCTTCTTATGTCATCTAGTCTATCTCCTTGATATAAAATACTATTTCGATCATGTTAACAAAATTTGGAAAATTTAAGTGGAGGTCTTGTTTTTATAAGGATCAATAACGATCTCCTGATGTGGGAACCACCACCACCTCCTCCTTCAAACCATAGCCCTGACCAAAGCCATAGGTATGATGAGTTTCATCTCTGCAAATCAGCCTTCAGACTGGGTGAGTTTGACAACAATAAAATAGATCACAAGTTGTACATGCACAGCTTTCTGGGTGGTACAGTGAATTTTTGTTTGTAAAGACTCTGACTCAGAGGAAGATGAGCCCTCTTACCACTTGGCCAATGATTTGTCTGGAAAAACTCAGACAGCTGCTCGTCCCTGCCACAACCTCAGCCTTCTCTCCCTCACTGTGATCATGGACAAAGGTCGTCTTCAGGCGCGAACAGATGAGAAGGTATTTTAGTACTATTGCTGTACTATAAACATATGTATGCACATATCAATAAATTATGGGTGAAATGTTCCTCTAATACAAATGCAAATAGGAAGAACAAGGTCAAGGAGAATTTGTATTGGATCTTGAAGGAGGAAAAATCTTCAGTGTGGCACAGTATCAGAATGACCCTAACCTAAACTACCTATGTGTAGAAAGCAGAAAAGTTGAGCTCTACCATCGAGGTATCTACATTATTTTGACTGGCTGAATGACTGAATGATTTGTTTTACCTTTGAATATCTGGAATAATTATTTTCTCTTCTTTTTAAGCTGTAGTGAAAGATCTCTTAATGCCGGCACACTTGGAGATCCCTAGTTTTACCCCACCAAAGCACCTAGACCCTACTATCTATCCCACAGAAGCTGGTGTGAGCAGTGTCAGTGGCAGAGAGGCTGACACCATGATGTTGTCCACAGCTATCAAAATCACACTTGACCTCCAAAAAAATGTTAAAGTTGGTCACCATCTCACAGTTGATTAAAAAAAATGACTTAACTTTATTGTATGTATGTATGTAGAACTCTTCATTGTTGCTTTCTAGGAATTCCTAGTCGCTTTACGATTGCAAGGAGCCACCATGAGACATTACATGACACAAACGGATCAAAGTTGGCATGAACAGGTAAATATAAGAAAGTGAAGAAACAAGAATATTAAATTGACATTTGACACAACATTTAACAAAGGAAGAGGGCAGTTTTTTGTTATTTTTTGTTGAGGATTGTGTTTCATCTAATACTGTTCTAAAATGGTGTAATAACATGTTAATTTCTATGTTTCAGCTTGTTGAATTTCTTGATGTTATTGATGATCCCATTCTGGGATACACTGCTCCTGCTGTCATCACTGTTCTCCATACACACCTTGCTTCCTGTGCTGTTGACTACCGGTAAACTTGTTAAATCTTCATATTTATGTGCATATATCAAGCATTTTCTCCTCTACAAAAATATCAAGACTATAATCTTTTTTGTCTTAACAGACCACTCTATTTACCATTGCGAGTGTTGCTCACAGCAGAGTCTTTCTCATTGTCCAGTAATATCATCGTTGACACTGCAACATTTCACCTCAGGTACAGTTCTTTACATGTATTTCCTAATTTATCAAGAAATATAACTTAAATAACTACAAAATGGCTTCAGATTTATTCTAGATGATTCTGCCCTCTACCTCTCTGATAAATGTGAGACTGACACAGTGGACTTGAGAAAAGGTAACAACATGAAATCCAGCGATAATTTGTTTTCTTTTGCTTGACTAAAGACAAAAATACTGTGTGTCTTGCAGACTATGTGTGTATTCTGGACATTGACTTGTTGGAACTTGCCATTACCACATGGAAAGGAAATTGTACGGGCAAACTTGTGAGTAACTGTTATTTGCATTGCTATTTAACTCAACACTTCTGAGATTTCATCCTTTTTCTTCATTTTGTCTTTTAACCTCAGTCTCAACCACTTTTTGAGCTGCGTTGCTCAAATAATGTGGTTCACATTCACACCTGTGCTGATTCCTGTGCTGCTCTGGTCAATTTGCTGCAGTACCTGGTCTCACAGGGCGACCTACATCCTCCTCCACGTCATGCTTCCCCTACAGAAATTGCTGGCCAGAAATTACCAGTAAAAGTTTTTATGAAATTAAAAAATATATATAAAGCAGTGGTACATTTTCTTATCTTGTATGTGTACTTTTTGGTTAGCTAGCAGAAACTCCTGTGTCTGTGGTGGCCTGCCCTCCAGCTGAAACAGCTGAGATTAACCAATGTGATCTAACAGATGCCTTAATTGATACAGAGAAGAGCCACACTGAAGAAAGTTTGGAGACGGGTATCTGTGTTATTATTATTTCTGTTATTGCTTAAATATATTGTGTAGAGATGATTAAATATTAAATATTATATTGACTCCATTTGTGCAGGGGCCTGCTCCGTGCCACGAGGCTCTCCCGTGTCTGTGTACCTGTTTCCTGGTGAAGCCTCGAAGCACAGCCCCACTGGTCTCCATGACAATGAGTCAGAGCTGGATGGACTGGTTACTACAGCAACAGAAGCTCAACCAGACATGGCAATGTCAGATGAAGCATCAGATGGCTCCACTGACAATGATGACTTCTGCATTTTAGAGGCTCCAGGCATTGGTATTCCTGTAAGTCTGATAAGTGTCCTTACTGTTCATCTTTAGTCTCTGGTGTATTTAAAATTTTCAGAACATGTTAACGTTGCCGTTTTTCTCTTGTATGCTTTAATCAGCCCAGAGATGGGGAGCCAGTGGTTACAGTTCTAGCCCAGGGTCCCATACGAGTGAAAGAGAGTCATTTCTCCAGACCCAGAGGTAGCTCAGACCTGCTCCGTGCACCAAGCCGCTTCCCTGTGCCCAAAAACAGGATGGTGCTGCGAGAAATTTCTGTGGTCTGGCATCTTTATGGAGGAAAAGATTTTGGAGGCAAATCCATTTCTATACATAATCAAAATGCTAACAGGTAAAACAGTCCTTGTCCAAATGACTAATGCAAATACTCTGTTTTGCATATTAAAATGTCCTTCTGTTCTGCAGGGCTCGTTCAGTTCCTGCTGGTGTTCGAGGATCACCGTCCCGCTCTGTGGGCTCTTCTCGTCCACAAAACTCCTGGCGCTGGGCTGGAGGCAGCGGTCGCCAACACTCATTGCTAATGGAGATCCAGCTAACCAAGGTTTGTTAATAAAACAGATTAAAATGTACAAGATTTAACTGACAGATTTATAAAAATAACCTTCATTGCATTTACAAACACTATAGGTTTCATTTCAACATGAAACCTACCCAGTTGCTATAGCATCACATGAGGGGGACGGATCCCTGCCTGCAGGTGGAATAATAGGCCTAAGCGGAGAGCAGCCACTGTCCAGACAAGTGTTCATAGTCCAGGAGCTAGAGGTGCGGGACCGCCTGGCTTCCTCACAAATAAACAAATTCCTCTACCTCTACACCAGCGAGAGCATGCCTCGACGAGCCCATTCAAACATGGTGAGAAAGACTGGAGAGTGGCTGCACTTGTTTATACTATATATGATGTAAGACTAAATGTAAACTTGGTCTTTGGTTTCAGCTGACAGTGAAGGCCCTGCAGGTGTGTCCAGAGTCTGGCCTTGGCAGTCCAGAGTGCTGTCTCAGGGTCAGCTTGTTGCCATTAAGATTAAACATTGACCAGGTAACTCGGTAAACATGTAGAAGAATAGTATGAAGATATTGTAAGGTAATATTGTCTACTTTTTTTTTTTTTTTAATCTAGGATGCACTGTTTTTCCTGAAGGACTTTTTTAGTAATTTAGCATCCTCTGTTAACCCATACCTGCCAATGGACCCCGCCACAGAGGGTAGGATCTTTTAATTTATCAGGTAGCTCTGTTTAGTTTTAAAAAATGCGTTAAGACAGATTGGATTTTTTTTTCAGTAAAAGCTGACTCCACACAAAAGGAGGAGGTTGAAACTGGATTGGGACCTGATCTTTCAGCCTCTGTGGAAACTACCTACAGTGAAAGGAGTTCATCCTCTGCTGGCTCCACCTCCTCATCTGACCAGCCCATCTATTTCCGGTAAAAAGTCATAAAGGAATATGTGACGCTGATCTTTGTGTGCATTCATAGATAGTATTTAGGAATTAGCATCTAAATACATGTAAATATAAAATGTACTTTGTTCACTCATCAGGCTTTAATGTAAACAGATGCAAGTTACAACAATATTTAAGCAAAGAATGTAAGTTAAACTCGTCCTTTTGTTTTAGAGAGTTCCGTTTTACCTCTGAAGTGCCTATCTGGCTGGATTATCATGGCAAACATGTTGTCATTGAGCAGGTATTCATTTGTGTGACTGTATTTTTTATGTTAAGATGATATAATGACAACACTATTTCCTTTTTTAGGGAACATTTGCAGGAATTTTGATTGGCCTGGCACAGTTAAATTGTTCTGAACTTAAACTAAAGAGGCTATGTTGCAGGCATGGGTATGTGTCCATATATAGAGAGAGAACTTTATTTTTACAACTGATAATGCATATTATTTGCTTTTTTTTTTTTTTTACTACTTCTATTTTAGAAATGATATGTTTTTTTTTTTCCTTTTCCAGCCTTCTTGGTGTTGACAAAGTGATCCAGTATGCAGTCACTGAATGGCTGGCTGACATTCGGAAGAATCAGCTGCCGGGCATTTTGGGAGGTGTAGGCCCTATGCATTCTGTTGTACAGCTATGTAAGCCAATTAAAATATATATGTTTATTTTAACAAAGGTTAGATTTTAACTTGTATAGAATAATGATAGTGTTGTTTATTTTCAGTCCATGGCGTGCGTGACTTGTTCTGGTTGCCCATTGAGCAGTATAGAAAAGATGGGCGCATTATTCGGGGTCTCCAGAGGGGTGCAGCATCTTTTGGCACCTCTACTGCGTCAGCTGCTCTGGAACTGAGCAACAGGCTGGTTCAGGCCATCCAGGTATCAAAATATAACTATTTTAGTAATTTTTTATTTTATTTAATTTTTTTATGTATTTCGGAAATTATTTTTACAAGCAAGTATTTTTTAAGTATTTCTTCAACTACTTTTCAAGGCCACAGCAGAGACAGTGTATGACATCCTTTCTCCAACACCTCCTCTTAATCGCTGTGCCATCACTGAAGGCCGGGTGACAACCAGCAGGTCACGAAGGGCTGCCCAACCCGCTGATCTAAGGGAAGGAGTTGCTAAGGCTTATGACACAGTCAGAGAGGTACTTTGCCACTCAGGATCAATATTAAATGTATTTGTACATTCATACTTCATACATATTTATATACGCTTAACTTGTGTTTAGGGGGTGATTGACACAGCTCAGACTCTGTGCGATGTAGCATCTCGTGGACATGAACAGAAGGGTCTCCCTGGTGCTGTGGGTGGGGTTTTACGGCAGATCCCACCGACTGTTGTCAGACCTTTAATAGTGGCATCTGAAGCCACTTCCAATCTGCTCGGTGGCATGAGAAACCAGATTAAGCCAGACGCACGGAAGGAGGATTTCCTAAAATGGCGCACAGAGGACAGCCAGGAATGATGGAAGAGACTTTTGTGTGAATGTTTGTATGTGCTTATTATTTTTGACTTGAAGGGAGCAAATGCAGGGTTTAAACATGTATTTGCATGTATGTATGTGCATGGGTGTATGGACTAACAAGTATCTGGTAACCACAAACTACTACTGCAGTCATTAACACCATCTGTTTAACATCTCAATAATACAAAAATCAAATACCTTTTTTCTTTCTCATATTTACAGGTTACTTTCTGTTACAAACATATTGCTAATTCACACCAGAATTCTTGCTAAATCTTGATAGTCTGATGATTTTATTTTCCAAGACCTCATCTACATACTACTACTAGAAGGAAATTTGTAATAACTAGTGTCCCTAGGTTGTCTTGCAAAATTTAGTTTGCAGCCTACCAGTCTTCTCAACTTTTAAACAGTATTACCAAACTCAGCAGCACCTTGTTGAGATCTTGGTGAATTGCTGGTCATGGGTATTCAGTCTGTTATGGTGATAACAAAAAATAAAGATCCTCTATGCTTTTGTTTATTCGTGCCATATAACCTTGCCTGTTTGCAGTTGTTTCACTTAACAAACAACTGCCTTTCCCATTGCATCTATCATATTTTTTTTCTGACAGACCTTTATAATTTGCTGTTTTAATTGACAGTGGAATTGGCTACATTCAATCTTCATAAATCCTTTGGCCATGTCTTTAGTTGCCTTGTTCAGCATTTTAATCTTTTAACTTTTGTCATATTTATGTTTGAGCAATGGACATATAAAAACTGAGGGGAAATGTGGGATTTTATGTTTTTGGAATAGATGTGAAGAGTGTGTGACAGCATATGAAAATGCTATCTTTGTGAGAGTATGATGCATGCTTGTGAGGATGACTGATGCTAATACTTCCACCAAGTGTGTAATTTGTATTTTCGTTTATGTTAACTGTTTGAATGACTTAACACAAAAAGAAAGTGTACATCTTTAATACAAAAATCTCAATAAAAATCTGTCTAAAAACTGAAAATAGTTGTGTTCTTTTACACATATATATATATACACACACACACACATATATATGTGTGTGTGTGTGTGTGTGTATATATATATATATATATTAGGGGTGTCAAATTATCGCGTTAATTGCGATTAATTAATTACAGTCATATTTAGCGCGTTATGTTTTTTAATCGCGTTAATCTCATTTTTAATCTGTAACTTTACTGTTTCTGTATGCGAGTTGCTTTATTATAAAACCTGTTTTATATGTTGGGACAACAACACACACACACACACACACACACAAAAACACATTTATACATTTTTTTTATTTCGGTAATTCCACTCATTGCCGGAAACCCACACAAAACGCGCGCAGTAAGAGTGATGTAAACGTCATGTTAACGTTGGCGGCGTCAGTCGGACAATGGACGAGGTCGAAGAGCCAGTAGAACAGAGTCAGCAGTGCACAGGTAAAAACGCAGTCGTGTCTTGGAAATTATTCTCCCGATGTGAAATATAAAAGAAAATAACAAATATAAAATCGTCTACAACTTAAATGTCACTGGTGAAAACAACCTGCATAGGCTCATGATGTCTGCACTACTGTCCTGCCACATGAGGGGACACGCACACAAACAGAAACACACACAAACACAAACAAACACAAACACACACAAACACACCTTCATCATCGTCATTAACCTGAGAACGCGCGGACCACATTTCCTTCCGTAGACACTGCTCGGACACCGCTGTCCTCCCGTGAGCCGCGTGTGGATCGTGTTTTCTCGCGTACGCTGCGTAAACCGCGCTTCCTCCTGTGAGCCTCTAAACCAGAACTAACACCAAGACTAAAACCAGGACTAATCCAGTCCAGGACTAAACCAGGACTAAACCAGGACTAAACCAGAACTAAAACCAGAACTAAAACCAGGTCTAAACCAGGTCTAAACCAGGACTAAACCAGAACTAAAACCAGAACTAAAACCAGAACCAAAACCAGGTCTAAACCAGGTCTAAACCAGGACTAAACCAGGAACTAAAACCAGAACTAAAACCAGGTCTAAACCAGGTCTAAACCAGGACTAAACCAGGACTAAACCAGAACTAACACCAGGACTAACCCTTTCCAGGACTAAACTAGGACTAAAGCAGGTCTAAACCAGGACTAAAACAAGGACTAAAACCAGTGATCTCATATATTTCTCTATCAATAATATTTTTAATATGGTTAAGGAAAGACTGGACTTTTTATTGTCTTTAAGTAGACAAAAGTTATTATGTTCAGATTTCCTCATCTTTGCTACTTTACAGCAAACAGTTTCTTATTCATGGAGACTTGGGCTCAACAGCCAATTTGGAGAGATTTGTTAAACAATAAATGACTTTATAAAGTCACTTTTCTTAATCTATATCAGTCTTTTGAGCTGCCACAATAATGTAATAATGAATTTAAATGAAAATACCTCAAATTGAAGGCTTTTCTCAGCAATTTTTAGGTGAGATTAAAATGAGATTAATTTGATTAATTAATTACAGATCATAATTAATTAATCTCTCAATTGACTCAGTGGAATATGCGTGTTCTTTCTGTGACAGAGGGATATTGTACTAATAGTGAGTCTTTTCTGTGCTTTTATCGCGTTAGAGATAGTTCATGTTAAATTTTTAAGAAATTAAAAGAATTTAATTATACGTCCGCAAATCGTACACACAGACCGTATATATGAATGGACAGATATCGTCGCCCCCTAGCGTTTTGGCAGTGAATTACTTCGCGGTGCATAGACCTCGACGACCACCCTTAACGGGTGAGGCCAGGGAGCTTCATGTCTGTTTGGTGGAACCGGAAAGTAAATTATGTTTCTGGGGATGTTTTATGTGACGAACCAAAAGCATTTCCGGTCCACATGCAAGCGTTTGAGGTGTGATTTTGTTTATCAAAGCTCGTATATATATATTTATATATTTTTTTTTGTTTTATTCGTGGAGGTTAGTAACGTCAATGAAAAATGAAGTTACTTACGCATAACATGCTGACCTCTCATGTAAAAGGAGTCACGAAAGGATACCCGCTGCTCATAAAGGTAAAGATTGTGAAGCTCTGTTCATGGCTTCTAGTCAGTACTGTTGAAGTTAAATAGCATCAGTGTACACGAGAGATCTGACATTTTATAGCAAGACGTAATTTTACATTACGGGTGATGTGTTAAAGTCAAATTAACATAAGAATTTTATCAAATAATTTTATAATAGCATTTTAACGTTTTCCATTTATTATCGATTAGTTGCAGCCTATACAATATATAATTAAAGACTTCTTACTATGTTAACAAATGTATCTATATTCATTTTAAGGCGACCGAGGTGAAATTTAACGAGGTGGAGTTTAACCCTGAATTTATTAGTAGGATGATTCCCAAACTGGAGTGGAGTGCTCTTATCCATGCTGCACAGGAGGTAAAATAAACATTTTCACTCTGTGATAAAGTCAATTTTGAATAAATGTTAACTCTTACTCTTTGCAGCTGGGACACCGACAAGACTTGCCTGATGATCTTCTTCCAGATTATGACAAAAATGAAGAATTCCTGAAGAAAGTACACAGAGCACTACTTGAGGTCTTGTAGCCAGCATTGTCTTATTGTTAAAGGGCATATATTATGTTATTTTTTTATCTGTCCCATCAAAACCATACCTGGAGTTGTGTTTGGTTTCATTCACTCACGTTTAATGCACAAACCCTGCATAGTTCTTCTCTCAAACACAAAATGCCTTGTTCCACCTTATGATGTCATGTTGTAATACAGGAAGTGCTCCTCTGTGTTTTTAAACTCCTTACATTGTCACTAGTATCATTTGGATAAATTCAGCTCTAGAATTCCTGTAACTGTTAACTACCACTACATGACATCACCAGGTGAAATGGAGCATTATGAGCTTTGGAGATGTAAACAGACTCAAGCATGTGGAAATAAAGGGTTCCTCAAGCATGTGGAAATGAAACAATATACAACTCCAGGTATGTTTTTGATGAGTTAACAGCATCATAACATGGCTTAAAGCTCACAAGAGTAATTCTTTTTAATAATATAGGACCTATAGGTTTTTTTACAGATAAAATAAAAATGTGTGCTTAATTACATTGTGATGTCCTATATCATTCCTCAGTGTATGGCAGATTGTAGAATTATTTTACACAAATGGACTACAAAATAAAATATAAATATATATAAAATAAGTTAAATGATGTGAGTGCTCACCCAGATTACCAGCTTTTTTTCCTAAAGCAATTGCTCACCCTGGTCCCGAGCAGTAAACCCAGTTTGAAGACATGAACATTTGTGTAGATGAGGCAAAAATAGATTACTCCTATTTTTTTGTTTTCTAATAAATAATGACACATGTCAGACATAATGTTTTTGACATGTCCCCGTTCTGTTATATTGGTTTACAGGTGGAGGTGATGGAGGGCTGTCTTAAATGCCCTGAATCAGGGAGGGAGTTTCCCATTTCCAGAGGCATTCCGAATATGCTGCTGAACGAAGACGAGGTGTAGACACCAGATCACTGGTTTACAACTCTATGAGTGTTCAAAAACAGCCCGTTATTGAAAGGTTTTTATTCAGATTGATGCAGGACTTTGATTAGAACAAAGACATCTTTGAATATTGTTAGTTTCATTTGTGTTAAAATGTCAAATTTGTAATTTGAAATATTACACCAGTTTGTCTGTATTTTTATTTATTTTTAATTTTTGAGACTAATAACTTTACAATAAAACTTTCCTCATTTCCGTGACAACTAAACCCACTTTTTGGTTTTTGTGGAAAATAATGACATGATCATATTACAGACATGCACAAATAATGCCCTTGTTGAATCTTGCGGTAGACTGTACCCCACCTTGGCCCAGTCAGGGTTAAGAAAATGCTCTGAGCCAGATGACGTGGCTGTGGGTTTTTCTATATTTGGATTTTGAGGAAAAAGCAAGAGTGGCCAGGCCAGAGGTTGTTTTTAAGGAAGTTTTTCATTTTTTTAAAAGCCAGACATTACACCACATTTCATGGCAGATTCCTGATGCCCAACGGATTGTCTGCCCTTTTTTAACAAAGTTGGGTTCTTTAATCTTGTGGTTGGTATGAAGGGGAAAATGGCTCCTTGATGTTGCAAGTTTGAACAGGAGACCATATGATTCTTGCCGTGTTATGATTTTTAGGAGCTTCTGTGGCAAAGATATTTAAGGGTGGAGGAGGTGCACTGATCATAAGTTTTAGTCTGTCCTACCTTTCCCTTCTACTTAGAGCAATTATAGGCCAGCACCCACAACTATAATAACGGTATAATGGGATGGCAGCGTAGCAGCAATAAAAACCACCCTGACAGATTAACAGTCCTGTTGGAAGCTATAATTAAGAAGAGACCGAAGGGTGAGTGACTGAAAGAAAAGGGGCTAGATTGATAAATGTACAATAAATATTCAAACCAAAACATGTTTTGGGGATGTAGTGAATTGATGAAATTACAATGCCATAGTGTCATGTCCATAACTTTAAAATTATGAGTCTATTATTCATTTTAAATTGAATGTGTCTTCAGGGTAATTTAATTCTGTTTAACTCGTTGTTTCCCGAAGTTGAAGATGTCTACATAATCACAGTCTCTTGAATTTTGTGGCAGTCCACAGCATAACCACCACCACTTCTTACCGCCCATGCACCTCCCTCTCTCCGTCACAGCCTCCCTCTCCATCGACTTCAGCTGCAGTCACTTTAAACGCGTCTGCTGCTTCTGTCTTTTCATGGATTTTTGAGGGGCACATGGATCTGTAATTTACTGTAGCCTATATTTTTTATTTATTTATTGCGGCACAGGGAACTCATTCATGAATTTTCTGCTCCATGTCTTTTGGCTGACATTTTCCATGTTTTGATGTTTATATGAGGGGATAAATAGGCCCACCATGGTGTTTCGAATATAAACCAACCGTTCTCTACGTTTTAGTTTTAATGCAGCCCGTTTTCTTTTTCCCAATAACTGGCAGTGGGAGGACCTCATAAGCTTTGAGTTACACTTTTGGAATGGCCCCATTTTGTATCCTTCTCATGCGTCTGTCGGAGGTAACTTCACGGGAGCCGCGACAGGCGCAGTGAGCAACTGATGATTTACATTATATGCGACATGGGCTGAGCTACAGCGACTGTTTTCTTGAGAGCAGGTTTGGACAGATTGGAAATGGATAGCGGGTAAGAAAGACAACGCTTTGACTCAACACAGACTCAAGTCGAGTGAGCCATAGACCAACTAGGTTTTTTTTTTTCCAAGCAAAAGTCTGCATCAGCAGAGTAGGCTACAGCCGCCGTTCATCTGGTCGGGGCCAAGTCCAGTTTGGCCAGTTTGGCCCTATCTTACATTAGAGCTGTGTGCTTTAAAAAAAAAAAAATTAAAAAGATAAGAGGCGTCCTTTTATGGTATTAAGCTAATATTTTAAAGAGCATCTGTCTCTTGAGTGTTCCCTAGCCGTGTGGACCATGTGGCTGTCGCAACTAACCGTGCTCCTGCTGCTCCGGGGGTTCGGAGCACTCGTGGAGGGGCTCAACACGTGCCAGTCTATAAACTTGGATGAGCAGAAGTCTCGGCGCATTGAAGCAGTGCGCGGACAAATCCTCAGTAAACTGCGAATCCGCAGCCCACCTGACGATGACGATGATCAGCCACCGGCCCCAGTACCCACAGAAGTGATGCTGCTCTACAACAGCACGCGGGAGCTGCTCAAAGAGCGCGCGCGTCTGGCTGAGTCTGCGTGTGATCGTGAGAGCAGTGAGGAAGATTATTATGCAAAAGAGGTGCAACGGATTGACATGCTTCCCGTGCGCACCGACAACAGTAAGGCGTTAAGGGACTCAATCAAGCTTATGAAAAAGTTTGGTTTTTTTTACGCTAAATCTGAGTTCTAAGACGTTATTTAGAGTAATCATGAAGTAGACAATGCAAGAGATAAATGGTCTGAACGCTGTGTTTCCTCCAGATGCCCTGCAGCCTGTGGATCCAGACCCACACTACAGAGTGGTGAACTTTGATGTCAGTGCAGTGGATCTGACCAACAGCACATTGGTTAAAGCTGAGTTTAGGATCTTCAGAGCTCCTAACCCAAAGGCCCGAGCAGCAGAGCAGAGAGTGGAGATCTTCCAGGTACAGATTATATTTCAAAACCAGTCAAAACACGAAACAGTAGATTCCTTTGTGCAAACCTCACCGCAGATGTATAAATCCATGCCTGGCAATTACACCGACTGCACAAAATCGTTTAGTCGTAGGAATCTATGTGTGACTAACATTTTTCATGTACTTCGATGATTCTTTATGGACTGATTTATTTTTGTCAATAGTTACTTAGACCAGATGAGGATAGCACTTCCACACAGCGTTACATTGACTCCCGCACCATTCAGACCAGGGCAAAGGGGGCCTGGATTTCTGTGGACGTCACAGAGACAGTTAAAGACTGGGTGTCGGACTCAGGTAAGCCTCAGACAATGCTTTACTCATACTAGCAGTTCACCATAGTAATTTTGGAACTTTTTTTTGTATTAATCAGAAAATAACTTGGGTTTAAAACTGAGCATCCACTGCCCCTGCTGCACATTTGTCCCATCTACCAACAACATTGTTCCCAATAAGAGTGAAGAACTGGAGGCCCTCTTTGCAGGTTTGTGCGTCTGTTAAGTAGCTAAGTAGAGTATGAATGTGAACTGAACAGAAGCATCTTCTTTGTCTTAGTCTGATCTATTCTGTCCATAGGTGTGGATGATGAACAGCTGCGTCAGATCAGAAAGCCAGGTCAGGTCAAAGGTCAAGCGGACTTCAGCACCAAAACACCTCACCTCATTCTCACATTGCTGCCCAGTGACAGAATGGACAACCCAGCCAAGAAGAACCGCAAAAAGAGAGCCGCCGCTACAGACGGAATCACTTGCTCCCGGTAAAACCAGAGGGAACAGTCACACCCATGATTTTACACTTTAACAATATGTTAACCATATGTTAAACAGTATGCTTCATTATTTCCTTAACCAAAGTTCACTTTGTGGACAACTGTGTGCAAAAACATATTTGAGGGTGTTTAGACTGCATTACAGTGCTTTATTTAGACTGCTTCACTACAGTGGAAAGCTGCTTCTTCAAAGAAGATCTTCTGCCACTTTCCCATGACACATCATTGGGCCTATTGTTTATGATACTTTTCTTTTTCAGTGGATCAGATCACAACTGCTGCCTACGCTCACTCTACATTGATTTCAGACGTGATCTAAACTGGAAGTGGATCCATGAGCCCAAAGGCTATAAAGCAAACTTCTGTGCTGGCAACTGTCCCTATCTGTGGAGCGCCAACAACCACTATAACATGGTGAGTTGGTATTAATCCTGCATTTGGTTCAAAAACGAGACACAGGTCATAGCTGTGGGAGTCATGTTAACAAACTGAAAAGTTTAAATTAGCATGGCATGACCTTTAATTGAGCCTAATGTGAATTGTTTGTGGCAGCTGAACACCATGGTTGGCTATGAATGGTTAACCTCAGTGTTATAAATGGGCTACACCTCGCAGAGGGCTGCTTTACAACTCAACATATATGCTTATACAACAACCGCACCATTCACAGTGTGGCTATAGTTTCACGCAAATGTATTTCAATGTAACTGTGCATAAGGGGGAAAAAATGATGAACCTCATTTACCGTGCTGCTACATTAGTTGAATGAAGTGAAAAGGGAACACCAACACTTTTCTACCTCTCTCTAACAGATCCTGCCCCTGTACAATAAGCTGAACCCAGAGGCTTCAGCAACACCCTGCTGCGTTCCTCAAGACCTGGAGCCCCTCACAATCATGTACTTCATTGGCCGCACACCACGTGTCGAACAGCTCTCCAATATGGTTGTCAAATCCTGCAAGTGCCGCTGACCAGATTAACAGAGACAGTGAGCTGTGGATAGGTGGTTACCAGACTACAAAGGCTTGTGAGAAGAACAGCAGCACATCTTAAACAAGGATAATTTTGTCTCTCTTTGTCACCATTTTTGTTCCACTCAGCAACCACCTTTTGATATTGGACACTGTAAATAAGAACATTATTCTATTAAACCTTTTACTTTGATATTAAGACATGACATGTGATTCGATCTTCATCTTATTTGAATGCTGCATAAAAAGAAGTCTTCTATAAAACATTTTTGGCTAAAGAACTAGACGTGTGTCTGTTTGCTTTAGCTTGAAGGTGTTGATATCAAGGAGGCAGTGTGCAGAGGTCTGCAGACGCTGCAGTCAGATCCGTAGGCAGATAGAAGGAGAGAGTTGTGTCCAGTCGGAGGCCTGCCAGTTCTCTGCGGTCCCGGGCTGAAGTCTGCCCGCCGTAAACAGGATGTGAAAGATTTCCAGACACCGAGCCGACCACTCACGGAACGCTCGATTTAAACACTCCCCTCATGTCCGCTGTGTCTCTGTCGCTTGAGGTTCTGGGATTTGCGGTGGGAGGAGAGAGGGAGAAAAGACAGGCTTTGAAAATGAGATGTGGGATGGATGATAGGGCTGTATTTGGAACAACTACAACTTTGGAAAGCGGTATTTTGCAGCCTTAGCAAATTTGTAACTCTTTGGGTCTGGCGCAAACATTTGGTGATCACACTCCCTGCTCAGTTTCAAAAAGCGCTTTCATTATCTTCATTATCTTGACTAGACAATTGGTTCTGCCCCTTCATTATCATACATTGTGTCATGTTTATCATTAGGGTCACTGACTGACACAGCTTGCACCACGTGCACATTCACCACTTGTGATTGAGTGCCTAAAGCTGAAAAGGGAAAAACGTCTTTCCGAGGTTTATTTTAAATATAGGCTCTCTGGTATGCCCGTGGTTTGTGTGTGTCGCTTAGGCAGTGAGAGCCAATGGGCGTGTGTCAGTGTGAGTCTCTGGGTGATAGTACCAAAATAATTTCTTGAGTTTATCATGATTATTATTGTGTGCTTCTTGGTGCTTTTGCCTCATATGCAGCTTGTGAGTGCATTTTATTAGCTGATAAAACTGTCTGGTTATATGTATTTAATTGCATTATTGTAAAAACAAAACAAAAAACACAGATTAATTATTGCAAACCTTCAAGTTTCTGCGTGGAGTACAAGGGACAGTATGTAAGATTTTGACTTTCAATTATATTGCCATGACCTATCTGTGTCTCCAAATACAAGTTAAACATGTCAAATATAGCTTTTACTAATTTTAATGCTGTTTTACAGAAAGAAAAAAAATTTATATGATGCATTATAATTTGATGTTTTGGTTTTAATTACAATTATCCAATCAGAAAGCAGAATGACCTTCACAAGACTCTCATTTGGGTTGCCAGTGTCAATGCTGAAATCCAGTTCTCTGATCTAAATCTTCACTATCTAAACCCCAGCACCAGGAGCCAATCATTAATCAGTGCTAGTGCAGCCTCTGCAGCTCAGTGAGAGAATTCTGGTGACTCTGGGCCTTCACATGAGGCATGGCCTGTCCATATACTGAGAATGAGAAAAGAATTAGTTTCCTCTACATTATGATTGTACTACCTTTGTTAACAAAGCTCAGGCTACATACATACAGTTCCTTTAAGTATGACATTTACTCAAAGTTACATTTTGCTGTTAAAGCTACCATCTCCAAGTTAATTTATTTTTATTTTTTTTTTACCTGTTGATGGCAGGTATGAAATTGTTTAATACACTGACTCACTGTATTTAGTGGATGATGCGTTTTTATTCTTTGAATAAGTAACTGGATTTACAGCCATACATTAACCTTATCAGACACTGACAGAAGTGAAAAAAGTATTTTTCATAATTCAGGTTATGCATATTGTGATTCTGTTATGTTAGTCATTGGCCATTGTTGCTGTGTGCATATTCTGCAGCATTTTTAGTTCTTAATCTGACAAATGTTATAGGTTTAATCGACTATGTGTACATATTTGTTGTAAATCTGTTGCAGCAGTGAGGCTCCCTCCCCCAAGAGTAAACTAGCCCAGCATCTGTTAGTCTTTCTCCTTAACCACCCCTTACTATATCCAACCTGCACTTATCCCACAGTGGACTGACTTGGTCTGTCTCACACTGGTCCCAGTGTCCTTGGTGAAGAGGTCTGATACACATTACTAGCACTCACACATAATTTATGGAACACACATTCAGGCATACTGCTCTGTTTACCTTTCTACTGTCAGGAAGTGTCGGTCACTTTTTCTGTGCCTTGAGTTGAAGTATAGTGTGTTGAGCCCCATAGCCCACAACACCACACCCCATACATACACATTACCGCTTTGCATTCGCTGCTGGCATTCAATTCACTGTTTTGCTAAAAGCCTTAAAGGCAGGCATGTCCAAACTATGGCCCGTGGGCCAAATGCGGCCCTCAGACAAATTTTTCTTGGCCCTCAGGCTTCCAGGAGAATTGGCCCAAATTACCTTGCATCAATGAAAAATGTACTTTTATTTGAAAATTTACCTTGATAAAGCCAGTATTTAACATTTAGTGTGTGGTTTAAAGGATCTTAGCGTAAATAAAGACTGATGGCTCATTCTAATGTGTTAAACCTGCACATATTTCAATTATTCACTGTATTAAGCACCAGTCTACGGCCCTTGATGGGCCCTCTGCTTCATCTGTGTTTAGATATGTGGCCCTTGATGAAAAAAGTTTGGACACCCCTGCTTAAAGGCATAACCCTACACATAGTTCTTAGGTTAGGACAAGACTTAATGTTGTTATGTTAACAAAGATGATTCAGATAAATTTGAATTATGAGGAAATGGGTATACTGATTGGTCATCCAGATATTGAAGTATTTCAGGCATCTAGACAAATACAATAACCATAAGGACTGATTAACGACCATAACTAAGAAAGTCAATATTGCTCACTCGGTGACGGAAAGTACAGTGTCATGTGATGAAGAAGCTCATCCAACCCTCTGTCACAACATGCAGCAGTTTAAATTTCAGTGTGGACACAGTTACTTATTTTGGCCCCAGTAACAGGGCATAGAGGGCATAATGCCAGTCATTGGTAGTAGCCTTTGGGGTAAGGAAGAAATAGCTTTCACAACCACAAGCCAGGTTCATTAAGGACTTTTACAGTTCAAAATATAATCTGGTAAAAAATGTATTCTATGCTAAAATAATACAAAAAATTAAATAAAATGGGGCAGATGTAAAAGTAGTTTTGACTGCCAATTGTACTTTCTCTCTCAGAACATACACAAATCAGCGACAAAACATGTTTTTACTCAAAATGTAGTGAAATTTCAGGAAATTACATTTAGAAACAATGCATGTATATTTAGGATTATTTGCCTGTACCAAGAAATCCCAAAATAATTTATAATGGCTTAGGTTTAAAGAAGAAAAGACCATTGCACCATTAAATGCACAATCCTAAAATTGTCCAGTAGATGGTGTTAAAATCACAACTGTAACTGAAAAGGCTTTGCTTAACTTGTCGACGTTCTGCATCAGTACTGGAGGAAAATATGTGTATAGAAAAAAGAAGAAACAACTTGCAGTGGTGTGTGGCTCAACTGTCGAGCTGCATTAGATCTGCAGGAACACAGGATGTGTCTATCACCAGTTCAGGTAACAAATGAGGAGATTATGTCTGTAAAGAATAACAAAATGATATACAAAAGGATAACTGTGCTCAAAATGTTTGGCAAATCTTTTTCTTTTTTCAGTTTTCTTGTCAGAGTTTAGTGGTTGTGTCTGACTGGCTTTCTGAATGAGAAGAGTCTGGGGATGGGGTAGGTTGTTTTTCTGGTAGACGTTCACGGCTGAGTTTTCTCATACGAGAGACACTTCTCTTTGAGCTCTTCCTTCTGGGCTTTCGAGGACGTCTTCTCTTTTCCTCAAAAGAGGTTGGCAAAGTGCGGTCACTCAGAGTGTCTGAGGATTCATCGATGAAAGCCAGGTTTTCTCCAAAGTAATCGAGCAATTTGCAGCCTGCGACATTTATAGAAGGTAAAGGAGGGATGAGGTGCAAGGGCAAGGGCTTAAGAGAGCCTGAAGGAGTGATTTTAGATATGTATTTATGACCATCCTCTGTCACAATTGTGAAATTCTCTGTTACAGATAGTTTATCTTTTTCATGATGAGTTTTGAAATCTGGTTCTGTTTTTACCTCTCTGTCCGCCCTGTTCTCTGTGAAGCATGACTGGAGCTTTTGGAGTGCATTAAAAGAGGAGGATTCAGAGCCTGAACCAAAGGTCTCCCATTCAGAGGCCGATCCTTCCTGGCTTTCCAGACGAGCTGACTGCAGCTCACAGACAGAGCGTGCTGCTGGGAGGGACATTGAGCGAGTCAGCATCTGAGGACCCGACCTGCTCTGGACCACAGGCCCTGCTGCAGCAATACTGACCCTCTGTCTATCCCGGGACCCCCTCTCCAGCTCCATCATGGAGGCAGAGAGACCGGCCCAGCGATTTGGTAGGTGACCATTTTCTGATCCTCCTCGGACTAAATATCCCACAGTGCACTGGGCTCCTCTGCGAATGTGTCGGCGCTCACTCCGTTTCCATTTTCTCCTCTGCAGAAGGAAGGGGTCATTGAACTCCAAAGGATTGGGAATGCGGAAGTCCATGGACATATTTTGGATGTTCTGGGTCCAATCCGTGGCATGGGCCCTGAGCTCCTCCATCTGAGAAGCACAATGATAAATCAGCTTGTTTATTGGCAGTTTGTATTTGCGTGCATCAGGGTGAACTCACCTCAGCTCGTGTTCTTTTGGACAACACTCTTAGCCAGTTTCCAATCATAGTGAGGATTGAGGCAAAATAAGCAAGGCCAAAAACGATCCATAACAGCACTAGGAGTTTAAACATACCCCTTTCACGGCCACCTTTTTGATAAGAATTGAGAATCAATAAGTGGCCTGACACCCAGTAGACTAGCATTAGTCTAATATAGCGCTTTATACCTGGTACAAAGTCACCAAAGCCCACAGTGGTAAGAGTTATGACCACAAAGTACAGCGACTCGACAAAGCTCCACTTCTCCACTTTATGAAACACAACAGTTGGCACAGCAAGGAAGATCAGACAGCCAATCAGGATAGAGAGGATGGCTGAAATCACTCGCACTGTGGTCTGTTGGACCTTGCGCTTCTGTAAAGAAGGAAGACCAGCTTCATATTTTACACAAGTTACACTGAGAGCACAAAACTCCTGGATCCTTTTGTGTTTTACAGTATGTCACCAAACTGAAGGAGTTTGTATAGTACAGACCATTCTCACCAGGAAGAGAGTCTCTATCTTGGCCACAGCTCTCCGCAGCACTGTACCCATGTGGTCGCTCACTCCAGCCAGAAGGATGCCAAACATTGGGATCCCCACCAGAGCATAGCACACACAGAACAGCTGTCCAGGCCACGTCCGAGGAGAGAGATTTCCAAACCCTGGTCAAAACCAAGAACTCCTTCATGTGTTATATTTGTATTTTAAAGAGTATGGTTATTTAACAGCCTGCTACCTATAGTGGTGATGATGGTGCCACAGAAGAAAAAGGCTGAAGCAATATCCCAGCGAGTGCTAAAGTTGGCAGAAAGGCTATTGGCATCTAGACCAGCCTCTACTGCAGACACCACTTCCTGAAAGAGAGACAGCAATGTGGCGTTGTTTTATCTATAATAATGTGTAGGTGTTACTGGGACTGTACCGCTACAAGATTGTTGAATTTCAGCTCTGAAAGACACGAGTTCTCGAGAATGGTTGCTCGAAAGGTCAGCAGTTTGTCATAGGCCTTCTTCTCCTGGGGCTTCTCCAAGGTGCTGAAAACAAGCGCTCCAAGGCCAACGTAGATCATGACCCCCACCAACAGGGCCAAGAGGGTGGTACAGCGCATCTTGGTCCAGATGTCCCGTGGCCGTCCGGGGGGTGGAGGTCAGAGCGTAAGACTCAGGATGCACCGGGGCACAGCTGGTGATAAACAGGAAGTTCCTTTGATAGGGCGCTATGAGAGAAAGGGAGCAAACATGTAAACAAGCTGGACATGTTCGTGGAAAGCCCACTGATGGAGTGACCTTTAATTTTGTATGTGCGTCAAAGACAGTCTTGGGCAGGAAAAGTGTGACAACTGATGATGCAAGTGAAAACTGTTAATATTTACGAACAAGCGTGATACTCTTCAAGCATTTACAAAGGAATGTTACATAAAAGCCATTGTTGGAAATTTATGTTCTTTTAGATTTAACTATGTAACATTCCATATTTTTAAGTATAGAGTACATTATAGCACTGAACTAAATATTCTATATTATTTGTTACATATTTGTTAGAGGAATCTGCTGAAACTTAAATGCAGTAATCTTGTGTATTGTAAGATCATGGATAATACTCTCCTCCCTCCTTCCTTTTTTTTTCTTTGTAACAATAACATTTTTAATATGTTTTGAGAAACAATCTTAATTAAAAATTTACTTTTGTGACAAAAGCATTAAATGTAACTGGAACACTTGGTAGGTCATACACAATTTAAATGTTAAATTCATGGTAAAAAATATTAGACATGAGTTATCACAGATCACCAATGTGAACACAGCCTTGCTCATGTGACAATAAATGGATATTTTTATGAACTCGGGGGACAGGTTTATAGTGATGCAATGAAAAGTACCTTACATTGCTCAGCAGCTCATCCCATGTTTAAATCAGGCGATGATATCTCCCAGATTGGCTTTAAAAGCAGCACATGTTGTTCTGAAGAAGAGAGATTAAAATATCTCAGAATTAGTTAATACCTTTAGTTAGAGAATTAATATACTATGAAAACTTGAGATTTTATGTATTTATTGGAATAGAGGAGAAAAAATAATACTGATAGGTGATTTCTTGATGTATTTCTACTGGTACCATCTTTGAAATTAATTCAGAGGCACATATCATATACTTATGTAAAACATGCTTTTTATTCTTTTGGCCTGTAATAAATGAGTAGATACAAAGTTGGCCGCGGTCTGTTATCTGTGTCTGAAGTGTGACAAGTCCCAGAGTCCCATTGTTAGGCCTGTTTCCAAAACTTTAGTTGTATGGAGCCAAACAAAGACAAATATTAGTTATCATTTCATAAACATTCTATATAGAGAGATTTTCTTAAAACGTAAAATGCACAGGAATGGGATCGCCAGTGAATGCATTGTGGTGTGGAGAAAAGTACTGAAAATCTGTACTGAAGGTATTGAAACTACTAAAACTACAAAACAGGCCAGTGATTGGAACATTTGTTACAAAACATTCTTTGTAAACAATTATTTGTGCGCTGTTGCCCATTTTTCTCATGACAGAACTGTTTAAGCAGGAGCAGTAATTTCAAATTATTGTAAACGTGTCTTTGTACCATTATTTTAAGCACATAATTAAAAGCCTGTGAACTCTTGGTTTTGCTTGTCTGTTATCTGTGACATCAGCCTACCCAAGAAGTGGAATATAATAATGTACTGTTTATTATGGGCAGAGCTTTACAGTGCTGTGGTTGAATAAAGCTTCTTTAGATGAAATTAACCTTAAAGGAATTAGGTTCTTTCAAAAAGGAAGGCCCTTGACGTCAGTGAAGAGATCACAGGTTACAAGTGTCTGGGGTTTATGCTCTGGGAAGTAAGTATTTCTTCATCCATCCAGAGAGCCATAGTATAGTGTGCATGCATTTTCAAAGTCTTAATTACACAATAGGAACTTTAAGTTTTACCATTATTTTTTCATTTTTAGGTAGCACTAATAATCAAGGCCATTTTCATTAACAATAGTGAAAATAATAAAAAAGTGTCAAAAATACTGGTAGACATACTCATAATTCTCTTTACAAACTAGCCATGTTGTTTAAGTTTTAGAGGACGTACCTTTAGCTTGAAGACCTGTTGCTATCCAATTTGTTAAGGAGCATGTATCTTCCTCTCACCATGCAACAGCAGCTGAGCACTTTGTGTGTGTTTTCTCCTTGGATGGTGTTTCCCCATTCTCGTGACCCTACATCACTCCAACAGAGGCTGCAGGAGGAGGACGATAAAAGGGACAGTGGAGGCATGCAACATCCATTACACAGCTGTGGATGTGATTAAGTGATGTCAATGGAGGAAGGAAGAAGAGCAGAGGACCCAGAGTTTCCTGAGTTTTGACGTCCGGAGACTTAGCATTCAAAAGTCTTTTTAGCTGTTGTCCTTGGAGATATAGACACTTAAGAGAACATCCAGTCTCTTCAGCACTCCCAGTGGGACACCGGAATGGAGTTTAACTGTAGGGTGGGCGGGGAAATCCAGTGCAAATTATTACATAAATTTAGAAAATTATATTGCTTCATTAAAAAAAAATAAAATCAAATTATACAACGCAGTCATTTATGTGTTATTGTACCCACACATAATCTAGTCAAAATAAAACAAATATTCAGATATTTTTAAATTTAAATTAAGCCTTTTATTTGATCTCAAACACAGCATATGTTAAAAAAAAAAAGGCAGCTGAAATGTCTCAACTCCAAAAGCCCCATTCTCTCAAAAAGACTACAGAGCTCTCACATAGTAGCTCACATAGTAGAGGCTTTAGTGGCTTTCTCAAGGCAGCTATTGTTACATAAATGTATGTCAAAATTTTGACAATTTCCATATTTTAAATATTTGGTAAAAATTTTAATTAATTTGACTGACAAATCAAATCAATCAAATCTATAGATTTGGAAATTTTACATGATACAACTCACTCTATACATGAACTACTACTGAATACAATATATTCAAATAAATAATGCTTGTTCAAACACACAACTTTAATAAAATAGTAATGGAAAAACCTTTGTATTATTAGTTTTAGAATTTTTACAAAAAAAAAAATCAAGGAGTGTTTATTAGAAACAGAGAAGCAGAGCTCCAGAGACGACAGGAGTGCAGTGTTCATCACCATACATGGAGAGGAAACTGCAGGTTCAGGGTGAGTCACTCCGCTGCACAAACATCTCGCAGACTGCAGCCACACTCAGCCACTGTACTGTACATACATCCACGCTCATGTAAACATGCACACCTCTACACAGCTTCAAGTGTGTCTATAAGCCACAAAGGCAATTCAGATAAAACTATTGCCATTCACAGTAACAATCATATTACCATCAAAACTACTGATAGATTAGAAACCAGGCACACTCACAGTGACCAGAGGCCATTATGATGATCTTTGGAGTAGCAAAAAAACACAGTGCCCAGATAAATCCACAAACATCACTTAATCACTGCCTAACTGTATCTGCCCTTAATTACACAGTTGGCTCTATTACAGAGGCCCTCATCAGCACACTGCAATCACAGGATAAACTAGTGACCATTTAGACATTTACAATCCACAGCAGCACAGGTGTTTATTCTGCAGGGCCAGAGTGGGCAGCCTGGACAGAGTCAAACAGAAGGGCTCTGTGGTACCACATGACTGCAGAGGTGAGCTTTTCCCTTATAAATGAGTCAATGTAAATGTGAAAATATTAACAGTTGTATTGTCCTCAAAAAAACAGTGACATAACCTTTGGTCATGTAATTAATCTGTTTCTTCTGCCTCTACTGTGTTTTTTGGAGGGACAGGTACCACTGCAGTCCCAAGCAAACCTCGCCTCACAATATATGGACATGAAGGGCCACTGGGAATGTCGGCAAATCCTGCACAGAGAAAAATTTAAATCATTACAGACTCAACAGGTGTCCTTTTATACATCTGTTCATTGCTCCTAAATGTAATAACTGTGCTTGAACATCAAAATACTTTAACATGTAAACTGAATTAAAAATAAGGCTATCAAATTTTGATTTTTGTTTTAACCAATACAAAGCAGGCCAAAACAAGGCAAAACATATGCGTATTACTGACTTCTTAGACTATGACTTCTTAAGTGCAGTTCTAGACAGGTGGGAGCAGCTAGTCAAGCTCAAATACATATATTTTTTTTCTTTTTGTCAAAAGACTCATAATAAACATAGGACTGTAATAGAAGTACCTTTCATTACCACTTCAGGCAGCCCATATGGTTCATACTCAGTGTCGTCAAAGGCGGCCGACAGCTGAGTTCGGTTTCGTCTGATCCTCTCTGCTAACCGCGCTGGGTCGGCAGGGATCGGAAATGATGCTGTCAACATCACGTCCTTTGGCTGATGGGTTTCATCAAATGGGACAGGTGAGACAGAGGGGGACTCCATCTCTGCTTCCTCCTCCATCAACTCAGTCTGTGTGTGCGTACAGTGGACTTCATGTGGTACACACCAACTCTCTGTTTGAGTGCTGACGCATTTCATATTATCAACCCCAGTGTTGTTTATGAACTCAATAGCTTTAACTCCAGTGCTTGTGGCATTTCCAGTGCTACAGTCTGGAACTTCAGAGAGTTCTATGCCCAAACGTCTGTGAACGTTTTTGGTGTCATTCCTTTGGTTGTGTTGAGTTGGAAAAGTGTTTTCTTTGTCAAACTGTTAAGTGACACAAAACAACAAAAATCTTTAGATTTTAAATTCAAATGGATAAATAACAAATTGTTTAATTTAGATCACAATAATACAGAATATTTTACATGACTGTTACCTCTGAATGGTTCTTATTGTGTTCTTGCAGGATTGAAAAAGGAGGAAGAGTCTTTGGTTCAGAGATGAGATTTTGTTGCAGTCTAAAATAACAAGTACAGTTTTATATGGCAATTTATACAGTGTCAATGAAACAGAATTAATATCTAATACTAATTAATATCTAAAACTCAACATCTTCTGTGAGTATAAATAAACAATTATTTTCAGCTGGAAGGACTCTCTAATGCAACCTGTTATTTCTGAATCCCAGTGTTAATTAATGTGTATAATGGTTTACCTGGAGAACAGAATGCGTCCCTGTAGTTTGTTGGAGGAGCAGGACAGTAGTATCTCATCCTCTCTCCGCAGAGTCACACAGCCACTTTGCTCCTGTGAGGCAGAATGCTGATGACCTGGGCCTCGCTCATGTTGGTGCTCCACAAGCTCAGACTCTGTGAGCGCACACACAGGTTCAGAGGCCAGTCTCCACAGAGCCAGCTCCTCAGTCTTCTGCTGGTTCTCCTCAGACAGAGCCTGTAGCTTTGTCTGCAGTGCCACCACCTGGAGAAGAGCAAAAGTGCAGCAAAGATGAATCTACAGTACAGAGATTAGGAAATCTTTTAACATTCTAACAATAATTCTGCAGCATAAACCACAGTTGCTTTGGAACATAGCGGTTCAAACTTGATGTTGATTGATATGCAGTACATGTTGGTACCTGTTGCTGTAGGTAGCTGATATGGTCCAGTTGCTGGGAGCCTGCCTCTGGCTGTACTTCACTTTCTCTTACATGATCCTGTGTGTCGTGGGTGCTCTGCTGCGTCTCAGTGCATGCCTGAACACCAGTGTCACCTAGAGCTGTTGGTGTCTGCCCCTGCAGAGGAGAGGCTCTTCTAACGTCTGTGTTTATGCCACAGGGCTTGGGTGTAGTCATCGACTGGAGTTTCAACTTAAGACGATGATTTTCCTGCTGCAGACTGAGGAGCTCTGAAGTCAAATCAGCCACCTCACTTCCACTGTTGACTTCATTGGTCAAACTTTGTTTATGTAGCATTTTACTCTCTGTTACATCTTTTATCTCAAGCACAGGTGGTCCAGCATTAGGACTCCGCTGTGCTGTTCCTTCATTAGAATTATCTGTGACCAGACTTTTGATGCAGATGGAAGAAGTCTCCTCCTCGTCATGATCTTGCCCTCTCTCTTCCTTTGCCATTTTCTGTTTTAGGGAACTAAGTTCTTGTCTGCACTGTTGTATTTCTTCTTCTTTAAAGAGGATGGTGTTTTCTTTTTCTTGAAGCTCAATTAAAAGGCCAGAGATGTGTTTGCTTTGCTTTTCAAATGCCATGGTCAGCTGGTGGGTCTGTTGTGTTACCTAAAACAGCACAAACGTACATATACATGAGCATATTAAAAAACAATTTAAAAAAAAACCAAAACTCATCTGAATTATTTTCATACCTGGTTTTGCAGGGCCTCAAGTTTTATCTGGTACTGGTTGGCTTGTTCTTTCTCCAGTGCATTTTGTTTTTGCAGGGTCTGTATTTGTGCTGCTAGCACTGAAAGCTTATCATCATGCTGTGCATTGTCAAATGTTTTATGCACGTTTTCCTTCTGGTTTAAACATTCTTGTTCCATGTCATTCACAGTTAAGGATGAATGCTGAGGATCAAAAAGTGCCATTTCCTCTGATGGAATAACATTTCCCATTACCTCAGATATTACTGCATTGGGCTGATTAGTGGACTGGTAGAGAGAGGGAGTTTTGGGTTTGTTAGTTTCGTCAACAATTTTGGAGTTAAACTCATCCTCTCGGAGGGTCAGGTAAGTCACAGGGCTGTTGGCTGTAGTCAGTGCCTCTTCTGCCTGTGAACTGTTGTTTAGACTGGCCTTAAGTTGCTCTATTTCAGCCTCCAATTCTTGTATTTTCTCCATGTCTGTGCTTGTTTTGTTCAGCATTTCAGCTTCCTGCTGCTTTCGCTCATCTCGTTCTAAACCCAACTGAGCCTGCACCTCCGACAGCTGCTTCTTCAGCTTTATGTTGAGCTCTATCATTTCATTCTCTTTGTCTTGAAACACAGTATCTCTCTCTTCATGTTTCTTCTCATATTTCTCTTGTCTTTCATTTATAATTTCCATCTCCAGAGCAGCCAGAGCTTTCTTTAACCTGTCAACCTCTGACTTCTCCTTCTCCAGCTGTAGCTTGCACTCCTTGTATTGCTCCTCTTTTTCAGTGATCTGGTTGGCATTTTTCCGACTCAGCTGTTTGAGTCTGGTCCTTGCTTCTGTCTCAGCCCGCCGCTGGGCTTCCAAGTCATCCAGCCTTTTCTGGAGCTCTTCTCGAATGTCACGCAGTTCAGAGCGCAGCGCTCTGTTCTGGACCTGGAGGTCCTCTGAACCTGTGGCCTTAGAACTGTGAGAGGAGGTTCTCTCGGCAATAGTTTGTATGTCATCACTCTCCAAAACCTCCTCCCTTGTAGTATGTACTCTGTCTTTTTGTAGATCCTCTGATTTTATAGGGAGATTGTCACTTATGTGTTCAGAGTCAATGCCTTCACCTGGTTCTCGGTCAGTGGGATAGGGTACTTTGATTTCCACCCTCCTGTCCACTTCCTCTCTCTTTTGCTTGGCTGTACTGGGTTTGGGCTTGCTGGGTTGGGTTTGGTGTAATGGCTGTGAGGCATTAGAGAATGTCACCTGGGCAGGAGGAGCCACACTGGCCTTTTGTTCTGGAGAAAGAAGGAATAAATGTACTTTAATCTACACACAATTCTGCCAAAATATTAAAACAACAAGATTTGCCAATTGTTTGCAGCATTTGCATTGTAGAGTGAAATAATAAGACTACTAATAGTATTCTCCACCAGAGGGCCAAAGTTGATTCTATACCTATATATCCATTTTTTTTTTTTAATAACAATAAAAGTAGTATATGAAGTTAAAAAAAAAAAAATGTTCACGTCACACTAATTGTTTACCTGCCAAACCTGTAAAGTGATTTCATTTGTTAATATTAAGCTAGTTGCTTACCTTGGAGTTCTCTCAGTAAAGAGAGGGCGTTGTTTCTTTCTTCTATCAGTCTCCTCCCATCTTCCTCTAGTGCTCTTTCCTTTTTCTGACATTGCTTCAGGCTCACAGTCAAAGTCTCTGCCTCACGTAAAGCCTCCTAAGGACAATGCACAATATATCTATAAATATTTATCTTAGACACTTGAATGTGTAGTAATTAATTAACACTGGACATTAACCTTGTTGCTTGCTTTACATATTATTTAATGTGCAAAACATACTACAAACTAAATACAAATACTCGCTCATGAATTATATTGATCATTGTGGAAAGGAGAAAGCAACATTCATTTAATAATATTTAGGTGAGAAACCAAAAATAAGATCTTCTTTTTCGCAAATTCAAAAACACAAACCAATTATATTTAGTGTAATATATTTAAATGCTGTAGATTTATATTTAAATGTTGTAGATTACCGTCAATTTTGCTTGTGTCTGAGCCTCTTTCTTTTGGCTTTGCTGTAGTTGTTCTTCTGTCCATTTAAGCTTCTCCTTGAGAGTGTCCAGTTCTTTCACCAAAGCCTGTTTTTGTGAGGACTCCTAAAAGAAAAAAGTTTAATGAAATTAAATAAAATAATAAAAAAAAACATGAAATAGAGGAACACAGCAAATCTAAATAAAGAAATGTGGTTATTCTTTAGGAATATGATATGAATTTTGAATACCTCACTTTTTAATCCAATAAATAACACTGTATAGGTCAGATTACTTGATTTTATATGCTGCACTTGGCAACCTGAATTTTCCCTTTATTTCTCTCAAACACTCCCCTTACTGTGTATATACCCTGTCATATCAGTTACATTGTATTATAAAAAATGGTATTGTTAAAAGCATGCACAGTACAAAAGACGTTTTCAAAAAGGAAAAGACAACAATTAGCTTTTTACATAGTATAGAAATTAAAACAGAAGACTTTATTCACATTCACGTTATTCATGCACAATACAATTTAAACATGTTTAAACTAGACTCCATGCCTCTTTTAACCTTACCATGCAGAAAAACTTGTAATATTTTTACTATTAATTGTAATATTACCCATGACACCGTAACCTTCGCCGCTCAACATTTCCACTGGACACATACTGACAGGACGAAGCGGAAAAGTGGGGGAGCAGAGAAGGAGTGCTCTTCAGAAACACAAGAAAGCAAGAAAGTGAAAAGTGGAGGGAAGGTAAAAGGGCAAGAGGTGAGCATGGGGCAAGTGAGAGGAAAAAATGTAAGTTTAATATTTAAGGAAGACAAATATTTTGTCTTCCTTAACAGGTAAACAGAGCTGAAGGATGTGTGTTGTATTTGTGTCCGTATTATATTATTATTATTATTGATGAATAAGTCTACATATGTACCTTGTCTAGTTGAGCCTGCAGGGCGTTGTGGTTGGCTCTGGCCTGTGCAAGCTCTTGACTGAGTTTGGTTATCTCCTGCTGGTGCTGCCTCTCCATGCACTGTCTCTCCTTTTGAAACTCCTGCAGGTCCTGGGAGCAACAGAAACATGACTGTGATAAACCATGGTCTCCTCCCTCTCATCCATCAGTGTTTTTATTAGAACTCAGTCTCACTCGCTGGTGCTGCTTCTCCAGCTCCTTGGTCCGCTGTTGATGTTGCACTCTGCTGCTCTCAGCGTTTTGTCTTTGGCACTTAAGCTCTTCCTGAAGCTGTTTGGCCCTCTGTTCAGCAGTAGATGCCTATGGGAAACAGTAAGGATAAATGCATATATGAAATAAAGAAATCAAGCTAATGTATAAGCAGATACTACTTAATACTTACTAGTATTGATTAATGACTAATTTAAATAGTTTAGAAAAATCACTTAAATGGGACATTACTGGACCTTTCCAGAATATTTTTAGAATAATTTTATGTCTAGATCTACAATAGATCTAGTATAAAATCACTTGATAAACAAAAAAAAACAAATAAACAACAACATTGGTCTGTGTAATAATCATCAAAAGAGAAAGACTGCAAAATAATGAAATCAAGGTTTATAATTACACAAGTTTATTTCTAACTTTCTTATTAGTGGAGCAGGGTTTTACTGTGAGTGCAGGGGACTGAATATACAGTGACACTTCAGCATGTGATGAACTGAGATAAACTGATGACTTTGATTAAAATAAATGATTAATGAAATTAAACAATAACAAAATAATATCAATGATCCTAGTTTGGAATATTTTGGGTTTAAGGTGACAGCACAACATTCTGTAATCAGGTGGTGTTTTATTTAGATGAAGGATGGCAAAATTAATGTCAATAATGTGGTGACTTTGTGGGGTGGTTAGTTCAACAACTAACATTTCTAATCGTATAATTAAACAAGTTGGACATTTATGTGTGTGTTTAGAGTCTTTGCACAAACAAAATATGCAGAACAGTAATTTTCTCACCCGTTCTTCTTCCTGAGACATGCGTGTATGAGCCAGGGTAAGGTCACCTCGGAGTCTCTGCAAGCTGATTTCTTTGGCAGCAAGCTCCTTCTTATTTTGTGCTACTTCATTTTGGATCGTGTTTATTGTCTGCACTTTTACTCGCAGTTCCTCTTCCAAATCTGTCAAGTGGCTCCGAAGTTCAGACACAGACACTGGTAGTGAAGGTGAAGGTAGACATACAGAAATAAGAATTATGAAGTATTGTATTGAAGTAATGCAGGAGCTACTAATTAGATCTCAATAATTATTTGGAAAAAGCATGCATTCAAAATTGTTTTTCAGCCAGCCCTGTATTAACCACTACAGTGAGTTATGGAGTCAATCTATAATGTTTGACTGATTGCAAAACAACAGCTATCATTTTGCGTAACATTGCTTTTCAACTCTTACATAAACACTTTCTTTCTTCAAGTCCAAAGGCGACCCAATTGTGTGTACGGGGTTTGAGATTTGACATTATCTTGTAAACCAAAGTATGGCAATCCATTTAATATTTCCTCAACCAAAAGTATGTCAGTTTGCAAACTGTGGGAGCATTTGGGAAAGGACCTTAGCTTCTGAGAAATTTCTTTACAAGCCCTTACCTTAATTCACAATGTCTGTGCTACAATCCTTGCATTTCTCTAGTCTATACTCTTATCAGTGGTGGTTAGACAAGAGAAATGTCTTGCTCAACAATAAGTTTGTATTACATAGTTCAATATGAGGATTTGCTATATCTGTCAAAAAATTTACATGTAAAAGGTGGCTTCTTCAGTTTCACATAAGAGTATTACAGGGCTCAACATTGTTGGATATGTTGTTATAAGAATACAGTTTAAAAAAATTAAACACATGTTGCCACATGTGTTTAATGTGCAAGCTATACTGGGAGGTGAATTTTTTACAGTGCAATATCTATTCTAATGTTTGCTAGTGCAAGTGATGAAAACAACTACATGTTCTATGTTTACTTTGTTTCATACAAACTTACAGTCAGTCTTAGAGTCATTTGTCTTCACGCAGAGGTTCTGCTCCAGCTGGCTTTGATTTAAAGCATCATTGTATGGGGTCTCTGGAGACACTGGAGAGGGTCTCCTGACTATGGGTTTAGCATCATCCCGTTCCCAGGGAAACGCAGCGGAAGGAGTGGAAAAAACGTCAGACGTTTGGTGGTGGTGAGCACCGCTGGGCTGTCCCCTTGGCAATGAGCTTGAGGACTTATCTGAAAACTGCAGGCGCTGGTGACATTGAGATAAGAGACAAAACATTCAGCTTGGGTTTTTAAACTACAATGCATTATTCAAATATACTGGTACTTATAGATTACATAACTTGAACTGTACTTTTGTCACTTTTATAACATATTTACTTTTTGTTTACAATAAGGTTACTAGTTTATATACACATTTTGTTATGCCACATCCAACCATTTCAAAGCAGGAAGCTTCACCAAAATTGTACTTATATATATATAAGTTCTAATAATGCTTTGGTTCTTTATAGCACCTTTCAAGATACTCTCAACACTTACAATGTATTATTCATCCAATCTATTGTAAGAGGTGTCAAGCTACTTCTCTATCATGGGGTAAAATTACGAGCCACGGCCAATCACTTCAGCAACACCACATGCACACAAAGCAAAATGTGGGAGTAAATGTCTTGCCCAAGGACACAACAACAGTAAAGACTGGTCCAAGCAAAAATCAATCCTTGTGAGTACTACTTAGTGACATGGATAGTCTAACCTGTCATAATGCACTTTAACCATATCTCCATTTCAAAGACCAAATCTCTATTATGACATCAAGTGTGGTACATATGGTCAATGTTAAAGCAATGCCTGCACATTCATAGCACTATTATTTTAAGATATTTTTGATTCATCTTATTAATTACATGTCAAGATAGGTACATTTATTTGGATAAACCACACATCAGCATAGGGAGGTCAGACTTCCATGCAACTAGAAAAATCTAAAGATTAAGGCTAAGCATCTCAGCATTAAATATCATTAACGCACCAATACAGTTAATAATAATTATGGCACCTACTCGAACATGAAGTCCTTGAGTTTTCCCTTCTTCTCTGTTGCCATGGCGCTCCTCCTTTCTACTCCCTAAAGGACGAAAACACAACATGTGGCGATGACAGTGGACAGGATCTGAGTGACCAGAGCTAAACTAGAGCAGGGCAAAAAGAGAAAGACATAAGGCAGCCGTCACAGAGTTGGGAACAGACTGAAGGACCTATTTTTAACTCAATGCTTACAGTACTTGACTGTTTGTTTTTCCACTGTGTGTGAGAGATATGAGAGCAGAAATCAGGGGTCATAGAGTTAGAGGATCATACCGCTAAATTCCCAAGGTGAGTTGCTCCAGCAGGGAGTTGAGAAGAGTGTTGTGTCTGATGGCCTACTGCTGTTCTGTAGCTTTTCAAGTTCAGCCTCTAACCTGTAAAAAAAGAGCTTGTGTTGGACAGTGTGTCACAGTAATGCAGAACCACATACGGATACAATCATGTCATGAGAATCAGCTCTGTATGAAGCAGCTTCACAAACAAACAAAAAGTGTCTCCCATTTGTATTTTTATAGTCCCTAACCTCTTCACTTCCTGTGTGAGTTTATTAGTCAGAGTGCGTGCAGCATCCAACTGGCCCTCTAAAGAACAAACTTGGGCTTGTTTGCTTTGGAGATCCTGAGAGAGGCGCTCTTTGCTGGTTACAGCGACCTTCGCTTCCTCCTGGACTCTTTGCAGCTCCCTGTGTGATGACTGCAGCTCCACACGCACTTCTTCATACTATAACAGTGAAAGAATCTATTAATTTAGCATTTCCTATAGACAATTAGTTGTACCATTATATTTAACCTTGGCAGTCTGCTTGTCAAGGCTGGTTTGAATGTTGTCCAGCAGAAGCTGTTTCTGTTTGTTCTCCCTGGATAATCGCTCATGATGAACCTGTAGCTCCTTCACTTTCTGTAGAACCTTTCCAGACAGACCCACTGTCCAGTCCTCCTCTGCCCAGCTCATTTCACCTGGCCTAAGAAACAAAATTTCATAAATTTTTTCATAAATTTTAAGCACTTTAAACTAGCTTTTGACGAAAAATCAACATGTTTTAATTGGGTCTATGTCTAGCTTGCTCTGAAGTCACTGTTGCTACGGCTTCAGTAACCAGGAGAGGGGCAGCTTCTCACCAAAGGGAAACTGTGAACTAATGTGTTTTTCCACTCAAACAGATGCCTGGTATTGTTATAAAAGGAAGTCTTAAATGCAACAGTTCTGGATTCACATATGAACAAATATTTTTTTAGCATGTTGTGGTACTGTGGTCCCAATACCATGTAAAGTCTTAGAATGGAAGTGGACAAACCAGTCAATTTCTGAGGAGCCACACAAAGTAACACAAATCCCTAATTGTGTAACAACCATAGACTATATACATAAACAATTCAAATCAATTCAAATATAATGCCAAATAGCCACAAACAAATTTAACAATACACTTTTTATTCTGTTTGCAAATTGTTGTTCCCATTTATATTTTCAACAAATAAACAATAAGATGAAGAGCTGAAGCCCCCTAATAGACATGAAAAACTGATTCGGTGTCTCAACCAAAGAACACATTAAATTAATTTGACACACTGTCAAATTGCCTATATTACTGAACTGGTTGAGTGGAGGAGGTGGATGGCCTGTACCCAAATATGTGATCACGAGTGTCAGAGGGAGAGTGACAACTTAAAACAGTACATTTCCCATCGCGTTGAACAAAAGTGTAACCCTATTAACAATTCGACAGACCACGTGTTACTGTCACTAATGAGCATGAACAGTTTGCTGTGTGTTTCTGCTGGCCATATATTAGTGATGGCACTGACTTAGCCTCATAGCTAAAGGCTAACCACCTCGCAGGAGTAATCGGCACTCACCATTCACTTAAGGCGGACACAAAAGGCGCCAATCATTGGGAGCTCACAGGATGCATGGACGGAGTTTGGACGCGATCAACTCCGCTTTTACAACAAAAAATTAAATACGCCTATTCCAGAGCGATAACATATAAGAGTCTATAGGTCTGATAAGGGCTGTTCAAGTCTCGTGTAGTTGCTGACAGCCAACAAACCCGAGCGGCACGAGGCGGGGCGGAGGCACTGACGTGGACCGAGACAGCTGGATCTGTTTTGTTTTGGGAAAGAGACACAACCCTCTGATGACCCCTATCGACAAACTGCTGACAAAACTCCGTTGGCAACGTTCACATGAGGTCTTTGTTTCAACGTGAATGCTTAGGTGAAAATAGTGTGTGTAAATTAGCCGTGTGTGTCTACTGTCCGAAATCAGGAATTCTCAATTGAGTTTTGTTTTCCCTGTCAAAAACACGGCCAAATATGTACCCATTTTTCCTCAAAGGGCTATACCACTGAGTTCACCCGATCCCTGTTTGCATGGACCTTGGCTCTACAGATTTAAACTACAAATCTGCAAATGGATAATTATTATTATTAGGCCCGAGCGCCTGAAGCTGGCGAAGGGCCTATTAGTATCGCAAAGCGATGCTCCCAGTATGGGAGTATGGCAAGTCAAACTGTTCACATTTACGCATATATTTAACGCGTTTAACGCCTTATTTGACGCGTCAAATTGTTGTTATTTGACGTGTCGAATTATTCTTATTTAACGCGTCAAATTATTCTACATATGATAATGATATCCTCTCACTGTTTTTCCCAGTCAATTAATTCAAAGTGCTTTCAGCCAATCACTGACCAAGACAAAGAGTCCAGAACAGTCCAACACCGATTTCCCTATACACAGTCTTTACTCTTAAAAAATAAACCTTACACTGTGTAAATTGTCATCTATCAAATTTAAAACGGTTGTCGTGCACCTCAACGTATTTATCTTTTCAGTATGAAGCTCATTAAGCAACTGATTATTTAATTGTCCGCATACAATATGAAACACACGAAATCAGCAGTGGTAGGTATTTATTGGGGGATATAATTTGACGTTAAATAAGGTTGTAATATGCGTTAAATAGGTGTTAAAAGCGTTAATATATGCGTAAATGTGAACAGTTTGGCTTGCCATAGGCGGGAAGTGAAATGACACGACGTGACTCGCCCGTATTGACCAGGAACCCTCGCCATGACGTAGCAATGCGCCAGAGGTTTCCGAAAATGTGTAGCTCGTTAGCCAAAAAAAAAAGAAAAAGAAAAAAAAAGCGGAACATTGTTTTCGTATCAGTATATTTTTCTTTCTTTCTAATTCTTCTTATTTTTTTTTCTTCTCCTAACCAATTCACCCATTTTTCACCCAGTGAACCATGACGAAAAGGCCTGAAAATTTGCCAACTGAAACTGGCCCTTCTCTAACTTTTGGCTATTTCCATTTTCCGAAAAATAAATAAAATGGCTCATCAGTGCCCCCAGACAACTCAAAAATGCATTAGGCAATAGGAATAAGAACCAAAAAAAAAAAATTGCACGTACAATCATGAAGTTTGACACAGAAGTCGATCATGACAGTGCGTTCCACCAGGGGGCAGTAATATTGGATTAAAGTTTGCTAAGCTTTTACGAACTCCTCCGAGGGTGTTCACCCGAACGGGCTCAAATTTGGTCCACATTATCTCAAGAGGTGGAACGTCAAAATTTTTCACACACATCTTATGGTCTCTGAGCAGTGAAGCTACAAAAAAATGCACAAAATTTTTGAGATATACAAATTGCTCCCATTTGCTCAAACAAACTCCGATTTCACTGACATTTGAAACAGTTGATAAACTCTCTGCCCTACTTAATGTGAAAAAAATATATATATTTGGCACATTAGCACCCCCTATAGATTGAAACAAAATTTAATATGGGAGAAATTAATTTTGTTTTTTGCACAATTTTGCACAAAATTCAGTTTTGGCATACTGATCCAAAAAGTCATTGACACCCATGCCATATTTCTCACGCTGTTGCCATAGCGATGACATAAACTCTCCATGTTATTCCAATGGTAAACTCAACAAATCGCACAAACTTTGGCTGAAGATTTCACTAAAATTTTAACTGTGGATTCACACCCCAACTCTGAACAGACTGATGTAAGAAAAATGGGTGCAATAGCGCCCCCTAGAAAATTTGTATGGAAAAATAATGTTTTATTTTTCATAGATATACAAAATTTTGTACTCATTTGTGACATTGTCTCGATTAAAAAACTAGGTTAGGTTTAAGCTTAGAGTTAGTAGGGTTAGTGCGGGGTGTAATGTTTTGCAGGGTGCAGCATTCGCGGGGCACAGTGCTTGCAGGGTGCACCATTTGCAGGGCACGGTGTCAGCAGGGCATGACGTTTACGGGGTGCGGCGTTTGTGGGGCGCAGCATTTGTGGGGTGTGGCGTTTGTGGGGTGCAGCGTTTGCGGGGTGTGGCGTTTGCAGGGCACGGCATAGGCGCACGCAAGGACCGATCATTGCCGCTTGCGGCTATATTTATATTTAGTTTTTCCGAAATATTGATCATTTTAATACTAATTTCCAGTGGTGGAAGAAGTACTCAATTTAGTTACTTAACTAAAAGTACAGATACCAGAGCCAAAAAATACTAAAGAAACAGTAAAAGTGAATGAAACATGAAAACTCTACTTAAAGGTTGTATAGAGGATTTTCCAAGGAACGAGAAATCCAGCGACTGTTTGTCCTTTTTCAAATGTTGCGCATGCGTGAAACCACCCCCCCCTCCCCTACAGCTCCCTACGTAGAAACGCCTCCTCCTTACGCCAGAAACAGGTTTGTTTACAGCCGGTGCGCTGCACATGACTTGTAAACAACTAACTACAGTGTTGGTTAGGCAAGGCGGAGAAGTGAGGAGCGGGGGGAGGGGGTGCGCGGACGAGAAGTGAGGAGCAGGGAGAGGAGAGAGGAGAGGGGAGCAGTGCACGGAAATTCCGTGCCCGGAGAAGTGAGGAGCAGGGGGAAGAGCGGAATGGGCAGCGGGGACAGGAGCAGGAAAGGGGTGCAGAGAAGGGTGTGCGGAGATTCAGTGCGAATGAACTAGCTACAACACGCAGCAGCAAGCGGACTCTTTCTTTGCATTGAAAATTACGTTTTCAGACATAGGATATCGCTTTCGTGTCCTGAAAAACGTTTGATTAGCTCTTGGAAATAAAGTACATTTTCATAATAAGCAGAAGTGACCTGTCCAGGAGTAATTTGGCGACCAGTGCGTCAGTCTTTAGACCCTGCGTCTGCTTCAGTTGCGCCATCGCTGGAATGAATCTTCAAGAATCACCTTAGTTTGGCTTCGCTGCTTTTCCCCTTGTCTTCTTCTTTCAGCAATCTCAAAAACAGACTTTCTTTTGCGGCTAACTGCTCCTGGATTCTTGTCTGCCATTGCAACAAACTTTGTGCTAACTGCGAGGAAGATATAGGTAAAAAAAAAGCCGCTAAGAACTGTTGCGTTGGTGGAGTAAACAGCGTCTGTGCGGCTTGCGTCTGTCGACTGCGTGACAGGCGTACGTAAACCACGTACCGGCGGCGCGCAGGCAAGTCAGTTACGCTAGAAACGTAGGGAGATTGATTGACAGCCTGTCAGCTAACAGAGAACGAGGCAGTGTCGTTATCTATTGGCAAATGTTTAGCTGGCCCCACCACGTCCAGAGTTGATGAATTTTTATTCTCTTTTTTTTGGTCATCATAATTACAAGGCTACTGCATCTCTATAATGCTATCATTGACAATTTGAAACTAAAAAAAATCCTTCATACAACCTTTAAGTAAAAGTATAACTACCTGTTTAAAAGTAAAAATATTTTGCACAGATTTCCAGATCTAATAAAACTTCAAATATAGTGATACTGATACAGATTTGTGTTGTGTTTTGTTCAGCAGAGACACTTTTTCCCTATAGTTTTTCTTATTTGTATTTATTTTTGTTTGCTCAAACTATGAATCTGTTACAAATAAACCTCCCAAACTATAATAATAAATAAGATACTTTTACTTTTCAGTTCAGTTAAAATCTGCTATCTGTATATCATCTTTTGACTTTAACTCTTTACCTACTTCACTATGAAAACATCGAGGCAAAAAGATTAAGACATATTGTAAGAATTAAGACTGTGTGCATATTGGTGTATTTATTTGTTAAGGATGATGTTTGGTAACTTCTAATTTAGAAAAGAGGAAATTGATATGGGAGGGGGAGGCAGTGTGGCTGGAGATTAATTGAAAGAAGAAAAAACATAAAAGATGGAGTGATAAGAGGGAGGGAGAGCAGGGAATTGTGAGAGGAGGAGGAAGTCTTAGAGAGGTATAGCACAAATTGAAGTTTGACATTTAAGATGACATATTTGCATGCTTTTGCCCCATTACAAATGAGTGCTACACCATATATGTGTTGTGTGATTGCGTGGGGCTGTGGCAGGTCTGAACCGAGCCCCTCTCTTCAGACAGACAGATGGGGGAGTTCTGGCATTGATTAGGAAGCCGAGACTGAGAGCTTTTCATCTTCAAAATGGCAGGTGTATTTTATCTAGTGCTGTCATGCGATTAAAAAAATTGAGAGATTAATTAATTATGATCTGTAATTAATTAATCTAATTAATCTCATTTTAATCTCACCTAAAAAATGCTGAGAAAAGCCTTCAATTTGAGGTATTTTCATTTAAATTCATTATTACATTATTGTGGCAGATCAAAAGACTGATATAGAACAAAAAAAGTGACTTTATAGTCATTTATTGTTTAACAAATCTCTTCAAATTGTCTGTTGAGCCCAAGTCTCCATGAATAAGAAACTGTTTGCTGTAAAGTAGCAAAGATGAGGAAATCTGAACATAATAACTTTTGTCTACTTAAAGACAATAAAACGTCCAGTCTTTCCTTAACCATATTAAAAATATTATTGATAGAGAAATGCTTTATATATGAGATCACTGGTTTTAGTCCTTGTTTTAGTCCTGGTTTAGACCTGCTTTAGTCCTACTTTAGTCCTAGTTTAGTCCTGGAATGGATTAATCCTGGTTTTAGTCCTGGTGTTAGTTCTGGTTTAGTCCTGGTTTAGTCCTGGTTTTAGTTCTGGTTTTAGTTCTGGTTTTAGTTCTGGTTTAGTCCTGGTTTAGTCCTGGTTTAGACCTGGTTTAGTCCTG